ACATTTGAGTGAACACGAAAAATTATGAGCAGGTCACTGTTACAGTAATGGTAGTAAACACTACTTAGACAAAATGCCAGAAATTTACACTGTTAGGACTTATGGAAAGTGGAAACACTTTCATAGGAAATAATGTCATCAGTATCCTCTTACAAATGTCATATTTCCCACTTCCCAAGCTGGGAAATTTGTTTACTGCAGCAGAAGTGTAACAAGTAAAATGGAATCAGATTGATGTATGTACAAATTTACTTGAAATACACATTTACATGATTAAATATGTATAATTGGTATGTGTGTTGAAATGAGTTTTTACAGTTATTGCACATTAAACAATGTACATGTTATTAAACAAATGTCCCGGTTTGTGGGACAACCAAGGATTTCTGATTCTGATTGTCTTGTTTACAGAAATGTAATGCAAAGCTTACCTCTGCACCCAGCTGCTGTTCTCCCTGTCCAAACGTCCTCCGTTTCTTTGTTGGCTGCTGCACTGATGCGCTGCATTCCTCAGTCAGAGAATGAATGGAGTCCCCAATGAGACACAAGTTCCACATCCACCTTCTATGGATCCCAGCCGTTTTGAATAACAAAAACAGAAAGCAAAATAACGCATTAGCGTGATTGCATCCAGCTAGCCACTGCTTCCTGGTGTACCAATTTTGGGAGAAGCGTCGTGTGTACAGTTTACCTCTCTCCTTCTCCTGCTGGCTTATCTTTACGTCGGGCTGATCTGGTGCAAGCTTTTTGACATTGTTTTTCCACCATAGTTCTCCTCTCGAACGGATACTGGAGGAGACCGAACTGAATTCAGTGGCTGCTGAGATCCGGTATCCATGTTGTAGGCGCACTGTCTACGTCTGCGTCACGACCGTCAAAACGTGCTGGAGTCGAGACTCTCCGAGTTCTACCGAACATCAACGAAAGCCTTGGCGGTAGCTCTATCGCCCATCATGCTTCTGAAACGTTCTGAAACGTCGACGCTGATTGGATACATTCCCATTCCTACCCTTTGATTTTCTTGTCAGCAATTGGACAACTGGTCCCATCCTGTTTGGGCGATTGAAAAACAGCACACAGCCTCCACCGCTCGGCAGAGACCGGCAGAGATCGGCAGAGACCGGCAAAGACCAATATAGATATATATATATATATATGATTTATTTTTGTTACAAAACACACAATTAACTTAGAATATGTGATTATTGTTAATTTTATTTATTTATTTTTTTAAATAAAAATTAAAAACACAGGGGAAACTGGGAGGGCGGCGCCCTATCGCCCTCTACTGACCAGCCGCCACTGCACTCAGGTTGTATATTTTACTCTAAACGTCTACTTGGACACCAGTTCATTCACCTGCTTCTTCTTCATGATAGTTCTGATCCTGTATGTTTTAATCGTTGGTTGTAACGTTCTGCTCATCGTGGTCATTTGTGTGAACAGGACTCTACATGAACCCATGTACATGTTTCTGTGCAGCCTGTTTGTGAATGAGCTGTATGGAAGTGCAGGCTTGTTTCCCCTCCTGCTGATTCAGATTCTCTCTGATGTTCACACCATTTCTGCTCCTCTGTTTCCTGCAGATCTTCTGTGTTTACTCTTACACAAGTATAGAGTTTACTAACCTGACCGTCATGTCTTATGACAGATATCTGGCCATCTTCTCCAAGAAGTTCAGTCCCTGTCAAGCCCGATATTCTACGATAGAAAAAGAAACGCTTGACCTGCTTCTCGCCTTGCAACATTTCCACGTCTACATAGGTTCGGTAAACAAACCGCTTACTGTGTATACCGACCACAACCCCCTTGTATTTCTGTCACGTATGTTTAACAGCAACCAACGACTAATGCGTTGGGCTTTAATGATGGAGGAACATGAACTTCTGATTAGACATAAGAAAGGAACAGAAAATGTAGTGGCGGATTGCTTGTCCCGTAGTTTGTGAAAAAGAAAAGAAGAAAAAAAAGGGGGGTACTAGGTAAAAGGGATGGTGCCCAAGGTAAAGAAACTGAGGCAGTTTCTTTTGTTTCATGGGGGGGAGTGTTACGACACCTGGGTTTTACAATGATTGGTCGTATTATTATTATCGGGGCGATGGTGGCACAGGAGTTAAGTGCTCGCCTCGCAATCGGAAGGTTGAAGGTTCGAGCCACGCTCAGTCTGTCGCTGTCGTTGTGTCCTTGGGCAAGACACTTAACCCACGTTGCCTGCTGGTGGTGGTCGGAGGGACCGGTGGCGCCAGTGCTCGGCAGCCTCACCTCTGTCAGTGCGCCCCAGGGCAGCTGTGGCTACATTGTAGCTCATTCCCACCAGTGTGTGAATGTGTGTGTGAATGGGTGAATGACTGATTGTGTTGTAAAGCGCCTTGGGGGGTTCCAGGACTCTAGAAGGCGCTATATCAAATACAAGCCATTTACCATTTACTGTTTAGTCAGAATTTTTTCCCGTTTTGGTAGTTTTCTTCCCATTGTTTTGTTTTCTTTTGGAGTGACAATACCAGACCCAGATACAAGATGGCTGCCTCCATGCTGTTGTCCAGTAGCCATGGAAACCGCAATGAGCACCGGCAGCCTCATCACCAGTGGATCCCTCCACAGTTCTTCAGGTGGAAGCAATTGGACTAATTGTTTTCTCTGGATCTGGAAAGGATAAAAGGCTGGAGGAACTTTCATTCTGGGAGTCTACTTGTAACCAAGTAGACTCCCTTTGGGATGGTTTCAGGGTTTTAGAAGTTTAAACATCTTGAAAGGAAATAATTCCTCAGCTTTTATTAAGTCTCTCTTTGGGTTTAGTAATTACTCTTGGTAAAATAACTACAGTGGCCACTGTTAGAGTTTAAGAGTCTTTTGTGGTTAAGTTGCTGAATTATTATGTAGAAGGTGAAAGCTTCTTTAGGTTTTGGAAATAACCCTGAGTCTTTTAGTTAATCCATCCCACATCTTTCTTTCTTTTGTACCATCCTGTTGGACACTTAGGTCTGGTTTTCTTTTGGTGCTGCCAGTTAAAAGACCTGAGCCTTAGTCTCCTGCTTTATTTTATATGAACATTGGACTCTGAGTTTTATGGGCTGTGTTAGTGTATTGCTGTTAGGATTTCCAGCCCTTGGTTTTGTGTTATCCTCTAATGTTTTAATAAATTTGTTTTCTTTACACAAGTTCCTTCTTGCCTCCCTGGTTTCCCCTCCCTGAAGAAGGTAAAACGTAACACATGTGTGTTATTAAGGAAATAGCGGGAGCGGTGTTGATGTAGGATTGCGCATGCGCCGTGAGTGGTTCTGATACATCTTGGGTCGCAGCTGCTCGCAGCGCCGCATCAACAGTGCGATACCCTCAGGAGGGACGAGCAAAATATTAAACACGCCAGAAGTCCGTGCGAGCTCACGATTGCTGGTCACGTGGTGTTAATCGCCTCTCGTGACCAGCTGTACACTACACGACGCTCGGCGCAAAACTCGCCCCGATCTCGTGGATTCTCGCACGAGTGGAAAATCGGCTCAAAAGTGAAAAAGTCGCACAGTGTATGCCCGGCTTTAACCAGAAGTCATTACTTTCACTGGAGGTAGTTTTTTTAAAACAAAACTTACCGGAGAAAGCTTTTTATTTCGGATTTTTTTCTCTTCAGATCTGGACTGGCAAACTTTTAAATAATGTTGTATTAAATCCCTTAGTGAAAGACAATAAAACCAAAGAAACACTTAATTTCACAACCATTTTACTTTGGGTACAAATTAATTTGCTGAAGCATGGCTTTCTCAGCTGCATATCGATTCATTCCCTCCCATTTTTCCAACACTTATACTGTTACCTGAAAAACATGAAGGATTACTTCATCGTCGTCGTCGTTGTCTTCCTCCGCTTATCCCAGTCCGGGTCGTGGGGGCAGCATCCCAACTAGGGAGCTCCAGACCGTCCTCTCCCCGGCAACCTCCACCAGCTCCTCCGGCAGGACCCCAAGGCGTTCCCGGACCAGATTGGAGATGTAACCTCTCCAACGTGTCCTGGGTCGACCCGGGGGCCTCCTGCCGGCAGGACATGCCCGAAACACCTCCCCAGGGAGGCATCCAGGAGGCATCCTGACCAGATGCCCAAACCACCTCAACTGGCTCCTTTCGGTCCGGAGGAGCAGCAGTTCTACTCCGAGTCCCTCCCGAATGTCCGAGCTCCTCACCCTATCTCTAAGGCTGATCCCGGCCACCCTACGGAGGAAACTCATTTCAGCCGCTTGTATCCGTGATCTCGTTCTTTCGGTCATTACCCAAAGCTCATGACCATCGGTGAGGATTGGGACATAGATGGACCGGTAAATCGAGAGCCTGGCTTTCTGGCTCAGCTCCCTCTTCACCACGACAGATCGGCTCAGCGTCCGCATCACTGCAGACGCCGAACCAATCCGCCTGTCGATCTCCCGATCCCTCCTACCCTCACTCGTGAACAAGACCCCGAGATACTTAAACTCCTCCACTTGAGATAAGACCTCCCCCCCGACCCGGAGTTGGCAAGCCACCCTTTTCCGGTCGAGAACCATGGTCTCAGATTTGGAGGTGCTGATCCTCATCCCAGCCGCTTCACACTCGGCCGCGAACCAACCCAGCAAGAGCTGAAGGTCAGAGCTGGATGAAGCTAGGAGGACCACATCATCCGCAAAAAGCAGAGACGAGATTCTCCTGCCACCAAACTCTGTTAAGCATTACTTCATACACTGTCAAATGTTTTCAAAAAGTAACTTTTATACCAATCACTGCTGAAGACTGCGTTGTACCTCTGGAACAAGGACATCAAACACCAAGTCGAGAAACTGGAACTCTCCCTTCTTTATTAGTTTATCTATTCCTGAGCATGAACCAATCCGCTCTGTCAGCTCGTCAACCTATAAAACACGTTAACATAAAAATGAGCAAAACGTTCCTCTCAGCATTAGACAACGGACCCAGGTGGCCCACTGGCCACGCATCGAGATAAATAAATGTGATGCAGCTTATTGAAAGTCAGTATACATTTACCTGTGCATCAGCAAAGTGGAACATCAGTGGCTTTAGTCTTTGCTTTAATTTAAGCGAGACACCTGGACTGTACCGCAGATACATGCGGCCAGACTTCACTCTACCGCTGCAGAGATTTTGATGCAAAGTCTGAGTAAAGACAAGAGTTAAAAATAAGCAACATTACCACAGAAAACAAGGGACTGCATTATCCTATGTCCAATTTTAGAGTATTAATTTATTATAATTAAACATTACATTGAATTGACCATCTGAAATCACTAACTGGGTTCCATTTTTCAAAGCCTCGATTGTCCTGTAATTTAGATAAAAATACTTCTTATTAGCAAATGAAGAATACAAGCACATGTAAGGAGTTTTGTCAGTGTCACTTGAAGAAGTCCGATATTCATTTTAGATCTATATTCAAGGCCTCTAACTCCAGAATGATTTGCAGCTAAATGTTCTTACATCCGGTAATATTAACATAAAACATACCCGATCAAAGCAGTCAGTCGACAAAAATATCTATTTTTTATAAGGTTAGGATTATTCTGAAACAGAATCAGGAGGGAGGCAATAATTAGAGAAGCGACTACTGTTTCAAAGTTATTGTACTTGTTGCAGGACACCTGATTTGTGCAACCACAGTTGAATGACCCAGCACAATACCACACAATAACTTAAAAATATTTAGAGATATTGAAAGCTAAGCTTGTCCAGAAAAATAATAATAATTTTTGGGTGCACAGGACCAGTTCCAGTGTGGGCCAGATGCTGAAAAAGAAATTCATAAATCTGTCTTTTTTGAAGTTTCACAAATCAGAGGAAGATTTCACAAATCACATACTGTTTTATGCATTCTGCTACGAGCCCAGAATAATCTAAAACAGGTTTGAAGAACGTATGTGTTGTAGTTTTTGAGCTAGAGCAGAATAAAAATGGTCAGAGAAAAGAAAAAAAAGTGGGTATTAGCCCTTTAGCCATTTCCCGATTCAGAAGCTAACTTTAGCCTCGTATGAAAACTAGTGATTGAAACCACTTACAAATTTCTGAAAATCTACGCTTTTTAATAAAAAAAGGGTATTAATAACGTTTCAGTCAAGTCAGTATTAGAAATCGTGGTCTTTATATCATATCTAAATTATATATAAAGTTAATATTACTTTAGCTGTTTTAACAAACAGGGAGACCAGAAAAATCAAATGGCTAATTTAAAGCGAAGCTACAATTGCTGATTGCTGAAGTAATGACAAGCCATCTTGTTCTCGCTAGAAAGTTTTTCCGGTGACATGCCAGCTGATGTCTGCAGCCAGGTCCTACTCGTAACACTTGCAATGCCAGGCCATATATATATATATATATATATATATATAAACCATGTGGTTTTTTTAGGACTATTTATAACTCTGTATGTATATATGTATATATATATATATATATATATATATATATATATATATATATATATATATAAACCATGTGGTTTTTTAGGACTTTTTATAACTCTGTTTTAAAAGTATACATTTTATTCTATGTCATGTTCAGTGCCCTGGGCTTCTGTAGAGGCAGTGGAAGGCGCTCTGTTGGAGCCAAATTTAATGTTTTTTGTTTATTATTATGGCGCAGGTGTTTTAATTTTTCATCGTGCTGCAGGTGACGGCTGGGGGTGTGGTCGCCGACTTTTTATCTGTCAGTTGAGCGTCCAACTGTGTGTGAGCGGGTTGTCTTGAAAACTTTTCTGTTGACCGTCGTCGTCAAGTTACTTTAAACCATTTAATATAACAGAAGCCAATTAATTCCATCTCAACCTATGTATTTTGCCCACAAGTAAACCAACCCGAAAAACAAGAAGAATCAGAATGGTTTATTGGAAGACACGTCACAGCCAGGCCCACTCACCCACAGCGGCGTTTTTAATGGAAAGAAGCCGCTACACGCTTTATAATAAAGATTGATTGATTGATGGTTTTGGTTCATCAGTCTAGTTGGTGGTTATTAAAGGAGTAAAAAAAAAAAGTCTGTGAGGATCATTAGAAGGACGATGCAGTATCGGGGGTGTGGTCACACATGTTTTACAAGTAAGATGAAAGTCATACTAAAAGCAAGGAGGCTGTAGTGTGTCTGTGAGCTTCTCTCCGACTCTAAAGCAGAAGCTAATTACAGCTAAAGGAGAAGTTGTACGATCCACATGTTAGGACTTGTTATTTATGAGTGGGAGCTTTCATAATTAAGATTTTAGACATGAGATTTCTACTGCAGCTCTGATGGTTCCTTCTGAAAACCTGTGGAAGAGAAGCTTCAGCTGTAGCAGCGTTTGCTCAAAATGTGAAACTTCATTGTGATTATTCTATCCACTGATTATGTTTCTGTTTTCATTCTAAACTAAAACAAGGATGAAGGTGAATTCCACTCAGGTTGTATATTTTACTCTAAACGCCTACTTGGACACCAGTTCATTCACCTGCTTCTTCTTCATGATAGTTCTGATCCTGTATGTTTTAATCGTTGGTTGTAACGTTCTGCTCATCGTGGTCATCAGTGTGAACAGGACTCTACATGAACCCATGTACATGTTTCTCTGCAGCCTGTTTGTGAATGAGCTGTATGGAAGTGCAGGCTTGTTTCCCTTCCTGCTGATTCAGATTCTCTCTGATGTTCACATCATTTCTGCTCCTCTCTGTTTCCTGCAGATCTTCTGTCTTTATACTTATGGAAGTATAGAGTTTACTAACCTGGCCGTCATGTCTTATGACAGATATCTGGCCATCTGTCATCCTCTGCAGTATAAAACAATAATGTCACCCAGGAGAATAGTCTTTCTCATTGCTGTCATTTGGTTTCCTCCTTTTTTAGCTGTTGGTGGAACAACCGTCTTGAGTTTCTCTTTGCAGCTTTGTGGGGAAATTATTCATCAAATTTATTGTGAGAATCACTCCATCATAAAACTGGCCTGTTACGACCCCAGACTCAACAATATCTATGAACTTGTTATGTCTTTTCTCACAGTCTGTGTTCCGTTATCTGTAATTTTTTACACCTACATGAGGATCCTTAAAGTGTGTTTTTCTGGATCCAAACAGACTCGACAGAAGGCCGTCAGCACCTGCACGCCTCACCTGGCCTCTCTGCTAAACTTCTCTTTTGGTGTTTCCTTTGAAATACTACAGAGCAGGTTTAATCTGAGCAATGGTCCCAGCATGTTGCAGAAAGTTTTACCTCTTTATTACCTTACCTGCCAACCGCTGTTTAACCCGGTTATGTACGGCCTGAATATGTCTAAAGTGCGCAGCATGTGTAAGGAGCTGATTCTACTCTGTAGGAAGAAATGTTAGTCATGTTTGCTCGTGTTAAGAAAAATACCGTAATAAGGGTTGGAGGGATATTACACATGTCCGTTATTGAGATACTAAAGATTTGCAAATAAAATATTCTGATGGATAAAACAGTGTGTTTATTTATGAGTGATGTTTTCTGGGGCGATGGTGGCTGAGGAGTTAGGAGTTCACCCTGTAAACCGTGGGTTGCCTTTTCTATCCCAGGCTACGTAAGTGTTGTGTCCTCGAACAGGAAGACACTTCACATACTTTGTCTCTTCCTGTTCCATAATGCACGTAAAGCTTATTGTGGTTCCAGTCGCCATATTGATTGATTGGGATAGGGATTGATAGTCATTCCATGGGGATTGATTGATTGATATTGAGGGTCTTTGGTTGGCTGTGGTGAGGTAAACTCCCACCTGCAGGATGGGATCATTTCATTCTTCTTTTATCATTTAAGACTCTTGTCTAAAGTCAAGCCATTTCTGTCAAGGCGCGTCCATGAAACCGTTGTGATGCGTTTATATTTTTGCGCCCTTGGTTACAATAAATCCCTCCTACTTGGGCTGAGTCAGAGTGTTGTAACTTGTCTGCAGCATTCCACATACCAAGAGCTAGCCTTTGTAGCCAAGGGTCAGACCGCCGAGGTCCCCGCCTTTGTCCACTGCCCATTTCACTTTGCATCTGTCCCTTCTGGGCCCTCCCACAAGTGGTGAGCCCATGAGAATGGGTACTCTTGTCTCCTCTTCAAGTTGTGCCTAGTAAAGCTTCATGGGTGAAAGGCTGGCCACAAGGGAATCGCCAGCATGCCGCACCTCCAAGTTTGGTTCCAGGGGTCCCCGGTGACCTGTGTTCAGACAAGGGAACACTGTTTCAATCGACAGTCTTCATCATAAGCAGTCTTTGGGCTGTACTTTGTCTGATCCTTCACCTAGGACCTGATGACTGTACCAGGGGCATGAAACTCCAGACAACTTCCCTCCTGTGATCACTGGGACACTCAGATCACTCTATCACCAAAAGGTGGCAGGCCAGGAAGTGTCATTACAACATTGATAGAAATGTTCCCTGTGATGTCTATTCATCTGACCAAGTAGCATTTATACAAGTAAAGCGTATCTGGCCGAGCACCAAATCCTTATAATTGTCACGACTAAGTCTGTTCAAAGATTCATTATTACCATAGACCAGTGAACCTCATCTGGTGGCCCGCGGGCCACATCCGGCCCACCAGACCTTACCACCCAGGCCCCCAACCCTTTGGGCCCTGGGGCTTTGAAGTTTAGCAGCAAAATTCATGTCCTAAACATAATTGTTTACGTTCTCCAAACAACTAAAACTACAATCAAAACAGTTTAGATGGAAATCAAAGCCATTTAAGATATTATTAAATTAAGATACAACAATACCCCTCCCACTGTCCTAATGGGTGTGACCCCACGAGGAAAGTTGATCATTGAGTAGGATTGATGGTTTATCCCTTGGGTCCACATGGCAGGGGTGAGGAGTGAGCACCACCTCACCCCTGCCATGTGGACCTCAAGGGATAAACCATCAACCCTGCTCAATGGTCAACTTTCCTCGTGGGGTCACCCATAAAGACAGTGGGAGGGATACATGAACTTTACTTTAGAAGAAAAAAAATCTGGTCCTTGAACAAATTTAGTTGAGCACCCCAGTATAGACAAACTGGAATTTGTCTGATGAATAAGACTTGAGTGGTTTTCCTCAATCCTATCATGTCCAAATTTAAGACATGGAATTTGTGGGTCAACTGGATCAAACCGTGTTCTGAGATTTCACAAAAATCTGTGTAGAAGGTAATCCCCTGTCTGGAGCAGTATGGACACCAGTATAAATACCAGCATTCTTGGACTTACCTTCATTTATTTATAAAGCACTTCAGGTTCCACCTGGGCCCTCGTCGCCATCACCCTTAGGTTTCTGAAAAGCTGAATTAGAGCCCAATGGTCGGTTCCCACCACTGCCGTCTTAGCCACGTCACGTGTTTCGTCACATCTGTAAAATGCAAAAATAGAACTAAGAGTGGGGCTTTGAGGATGGGGCAAATGACTGACAACAATCTAAAGGACACACCCTTAATAATGGCTAACTGCATAACAGAAACAAACAGAAGTTGGGGGGGGGGGGGGGGGGGGGCACTTTTAGCCAGAAAATGGTTGAATGACTCTGCTACCATGTGAGTCCTTGGCTGTAACACTTGCAATGCCAGGCCATATATATATGTGTGTGTTTGTGTATTTGTACGCATATGTGTGTATGTGTATATATATATATATATATATATATATATATATATATATATATATAAACCATGTGGTTTTTTAAGGACTTTTTATAACTCTGTTTTATTTTATTCTATGTCATGTTCTGTGCCTTGGGTTTCCGTAGAGGCAGTGGAAGGCGCTCTGTTGGAGCCAAATTTAATGTTTTTTGTTTATTATTATGGCGCAGGTGTTTTAATTTTTCATCGTGCTGCAGGTGACGGCTGGGGACGTGGTCGCCGACTTTTTTTCTGTCAGTTGAGCGTCCAACTGTGTGTGAGTGGTTGTCTTGAAAACTTTTCTGTTGACCGTTGTTGTCAAGTTACTTTAAACCATTTAAAATAACAGAAGCCAATTAATTCCATCTCAACCTATGTATTTTGTCCACAATAAACCAACCCAAAAAACAAGAAGAATCAGAATGGTTTGTTGGAAGACACATCACAGCCAGGCCCACTCACCCACAGTGGCGTTTTTAATGGAAAGGACGATGCAGTATCGGGGGTGTGGTCACACATGTTTTACAAGTAAGATGAAAGTCATACTAAAAGCAAGGAGGCTGTAGTGTGTCTGTGAGCTTCTCTCCGACTCTAAAGCAGAAGCTAATTACAGCTAAAGGAGAAGTTGTACGATCCACGTGTTAGGACTTGTTATTTATGAGTGGGAGCTTTCATAATTAAGATTTTAGACATGAGATTTCTACTGCAGCTCTGATGGTTCCTTCTGAAAACCTGTGGAAGAGAAGCTTCAGCTGTAGCAGCGTTTGCTCAAAATGTAAAACTTCATTGTGATTATTCTATCCACTGATTATGTTTCTGTTTTCATTCCAAACTAAAACAAGGATGAAGGTGAATGCCACTCAGGTTGTATATTTTACTCTAAACGCCTACTTGGACACCAGTTCATTCACCTGCTTCTTCTTCATGATAGTTCTGATCCTGTATGTTTTAATCGTTGGTTGTAACGTTCTGCTCATCGTGGTCATCTGTGTGAACAGGACTCTACATGAACCCATGTACATGTTTCTGTGCAGCCTGTTTGTGAATGAGCTGTATGGAAGTGCAGGCTTGTTCCCCTTCCTGCTGATTCAGCTTCTCTCTGATGTTCACACCATTTCTGCTCCTCTCTGTTTCCTGCAGATGTTCTGTGTTTACTCTTACGGAAGTATAGAGTTTACTAACCTGGCCGTCATGTCTTATGACAGATATCTGGCCATCTGTCATCCTCTGCAGTATAAAACAATAATGTCACCCAGGAGAATAGTCTTTCTCATTGCTGTCATATGGTTTCCTCCTTTTTTAGCTGTTGGTGGAACAACCTTCTTGACTTTCTCTTTGCAGCTTTGTGGGGAAATTATTGATAAAATTGCTTGTTTTAATCACTCCATCATAAAACTGGCCTGTTACGACCCCAGACTCAATAATATCTATGAACTTGTTATGTCTTTTCTCACTGTCTGTGCTGCGTTATCTGTAATTCTTTACACCTACATGAGGATCCTTAAAGTGTGTTTTTCTGGATCCAAACAGACTCGACAGAAGGCCGTCAGCACCTGCACGCCTCACCTGGCCTCTCTGCTCAACTTCTCTTTTGGTGTTTCCTTTGAAATGCTACAGAGCAGGTTTAATCTGAGCAATGCTCCCAGCATGTTGCAGAAAGTTTTACCTCTTTATTACCTTACCTGCCAACCGCTCTTTAACCCGGTTATGTACGGCCTGAATATGTCTAAAGTGCGCAGCATGTGTAAGGAGCTGATTCTACTCTGTAGGAAGAAATGTTAGTCATGTTTGCTCGTGTTAAGAAAAATACAGTAATAAAGTAAATGTGTACAACTTCCTTACCCACTGGGGGGACGTTGGGGGGGTCAAGCAGCAGCCTCACTGCTGTCAGTGTGCTCCAGGGCAGCTGTGGCTACAATGTAGCTCATCAACCTTCGCATGTGAATGTGTTTGTTGATGTTTGTCTTGTAAATTGCTTTGGAGTCTGACTTAGAAACGCGCTATACAGATGTGCAATAAAACAGGGGAATTCTGATCTCTCCTACGAGAAATATTAGAGATCTGTGATAATCATGTCTGAAAATAAATGTTTGCATGACTTTTGTGCCCGGGTGTTCTGACATTCAGTGAGCTTGTTCGGATAGAAGGAAGCAGTCCTAGCAACACGTTTAATTTTAGAGTTAAAGGACTGATCCTGGTGGGGAAGAGAAGCAGTTTGGATTCATCAGGATTCACAGATGAATATAACTGAGTATTAACTGATTTATAATTCATTTTTGTCCCTGTGATGCGTATTAATCAGACTAAGCACCAAACCCTGGGAAACTGTTACAAGAAAAAGAGCCATTATTATCATGAATAAACTGGAGTCTACCTGATGAATAAGAAAACATCAGTTGGTTTCTCAGCGGTTTGTTGGTGTGACTTTTGTCAGGTTCCTCCTGAACTTTACAGTTTTTGGTTGAAAACACATAATAATTATTATTATTATTCATTTTATAAAGTGTCTTTCCCTTGGCTGCCACCTTTTCATGGTAGAGGGGTTTGAGAATCCCAATGATAATAGGAGCAAAGTTGTTAGGAGCTTCGTGTCCCTGATAGGGTCAGCTATGGCAAAACAGGCCCTAGGTGGGGTGGGGCATGTTGGCGATGGCTGGTGGCCAGAGTTTTACCTTAGAAGCCCAATCGGGCAAGGCTCAAACAGGACAGTTGGGTCCTCCCTCTAGATCACGTGTCAGACACAAGGCCCACAGAGCATTTTTATGTGGCCCATGAGATAAATATAAAAAATATATTAAAACTGACCCGCTGGCAGATTTTACTGCAAAGACTACAACTCCCATGATGCTTTGTGGCATTAGCGCAGAGCCAAAGCGCCCCCTCCTTTGTGTTTTTTCCAGCGCCTGTTGCCGGTGTCTGCAGCTCTGCTGCGTCGGACAAACTAAACACTCCTCTCACTCAGCGCCGAGTTTACTCAGCTATTTGCCGACGTTGAAGCCCAGAAACGGAGATTTTAACCGCTCAGTAATGTGTTCACAACTGAAAGAGAAAGTTTTCCAACTAACTTTTAGACAGAGCTGATCCAACTCCAGCAAGCAGCGACACGCTCAAGTCAGCATGACTCTGGCTGCTGTAGTTTTTATTTTTCCTCCCCGACACACAACAACGTGGTCAAGCTGCTCAGACATGTTCATCAGCACAAACCTATGTGAGCACCTGTTGTCATCTAATGTTGTCATTATTATGATGAAGATGAACAAAACAACAGGAGTCTCCTCCTCAGCTCAGATCAACCCCATGATGCAGGTATCTGGCTGGAACAGGTGAGCATCACAGTAAACCAGTGGAGCAAACTGAGCTTTAAATATGTTGGTTTTATGCTCTTTTTCTGCTCCAATACATGAAAGTTAACAGGTGAGATGTTGCATTTTCATTTAAGATTAAATGATATTTTATTTTGTTGTTGGCCCGTGAGAAAAGATTTAACCTACAGTAAACAGGAAGTGGAAAGGCTGCAGATAGATGAATAGAATAGAAAATCCCTTTATTGTTCCTCAGTGGGGAAAGCTAGACGTCACAGCAGCGATGACACTTATTACAGGAGAAAAAAAGGAGAATAAAAAATAAGAGAAATGAATAAACAAGAAAACATAAATCCTGAATAGATTTTAAAAATGCTGAATATACCACAAGTAATGAATACCACTGATGTGCTTTATTTAAAACTGACTTGCTCGTGTGTAATTTGGTTTTTCCACATTCAGTGTTAATGCAAAATTATGTTTGTTTCCAAATTAAAAGGTTCAAAATTGCATATATGTTGATAAAGAAAATGTGCAAATTTGCCGTCACTTTTTCAAAAAATAATAAGTTTGGCCCGCGACTCCGTCCCAGATGTTCATTTCAGCCCAGTGTGAATTTGAGTTTGACACCCCTGCTCTAGGGAGCTTAAGTCATGCCCGTCTACTTCTGCATCGTGGGTCCCCGGAAGAATGACAAATGCAAGTCAACGGGGCTAAAAATTTTATTTTCTAATTCCGCTTGTTTCGTGCCATGGATTTCACATATGATGTCCGTGAATTTTAAAGACGCATTTTGATACCAAGAACGCGCTTACTTTCGAACAGGGAGAAATGCATTTTTAGGTTTTGTGTGAAAATAAGTCCAGGACTACAAATGCGCTTCACGATAGTGACGTCATCGAACCAGACACGGAGAAAACTGAGGGAAAATGGCTGTGAGTTCAGCGAACTTCAAATCCTTCCTCAGGAGGAAAGAACCACCATAAATCTGGCCATGTGGTAAGTAGCAGCTACTCTAGGGTGGAGAAGATTCTGTGGTGACGTCACATATGCGACGTGCCGATGTCTGGTGTGTAATCATGCTAATTACGAACTTTTCCAAGCTGATAAATCTCAAAGTACGTGACTGGCGTGGTTGAAACACCCATTATTACGTTTCGTTTAAATTGCAGTACAACATGTGTGCGAACCAGGGCATAAGGCAAAGCGGATTATAAAATAGCTCTTTTAGCCCCATTGACTTGCATTCATTTTTTTGTTCTTCCAGGGATCCACGAACCGACCAGAAAGGTCCCTCTTGAGGGCCCACCACTTGTGGGAGGGGCCAAATGGGTCAGGTGCAATGGGAGATGGACAGCGTTCGAATGTGGAATGTCACCACTTTGGTGAGGAAAGTGTCAGCGCTGTTGCGCAACGTTAAGTGGTTCTCCTATAATTATAAATTCTTACAATCTACCAGGACTATCTCAATGATGAATGCATATGGATTTAGATGTTTCGTGTTGGTGTGTGTGTGTGTGTGTTTTGTTCAGAATCTCTAGGCTGAGTAGCGGATCTGGTTGTTATGACTAGGCTACCACGAGGCTTAGATTTCCGATGACATGAGCCGCCATTTTGTGCCGTGACCACGTACCGTAGGGAGTCTCCCGTGTAGATCAGGAGTTGCCAGGTCCTCGGACCTTCATGGGTACTGGAGCTGGTTGAAACAGCGGTCGCAGCACACAACGCCCGTCTGAGGATAACTCCGGTCGTAGTCGGCAGGCGTCAGCAAGTTTACTCTTATTTTGAAGGAACGTCGTCTCGTTGGTAAAAACGACGAAAAATCTCCAGCTTGGTAGATTTCAGCTCAAAGTAGGAAGTACAGCTGGCCAGTCTGAAACTTCTTAATGATGACGATGGAAGTCAGATTCACATCAAAACACGGCTCTGCCTCCAAAACCAGTCTTTATTTTTCCACTCTGGAATTGCACCCACTGAAATGTACCAAGCAACAGTGGGAATACATCTTGATTGTCAGTGCTTATAAATCAAACCGCATTTCTGTGACTCCCTTGTTCTGCTGAGGTATGATACTGGGGGACTTGAACAATTCAGTTTATTTATTTACAACAACAGTCATCTCAAGAGTCATCTCAAGGCACTAAACATAAAAATACAGTTCCATTCACTCATGTGTGCAATGACAGCAAAACCTGGAAATGTATGGTTGTGAGGATCTCCCCAATCAAGTTTATGATGTTTTGCTATTGGACTTCTGTGCTTCTAATGAACTGGCCAGCAGGTCTCGTGCTACTGCGGCCATAGCAGCTTAAGCAGCCGGTCAGAGGTGCGGTCAGAGAAGATGTTTACCCCAACGCATCCAGAATGCCAATCAATCGCGCATGTGGGAAGCCACTGCTGGCTGATTCTACCAGTGCCAATCAGAGGCTCCCACCAGAAGGTTGGCGTGTGAGTGACAGAACTTTAGCCGGCCAATCAGTTCATAGGTGAGTGTTTACGGTCAGCTCAGCACAAAACGGACCTCATGGTCGGGAAATAAGGGTCAGCTCCACTCGAACAACACACGGTCAACGCCAATGTAAATACAATACCCTTCCAGAGCCAGACAAGCTTATCTGACTTTAAATGTGCTAATTGAGTCCAAGTAGGCCATGTCTTGGTTCTCATTTGTTGAGGTGGCTGACTAGAGCTGTGGCTGCAGGGTGTTCATGGTGGGAAACCTCTAACTGGTTGGTAGACACCAGCAGTAAGGTGTGCTTTCCTATTGGGTATTTTTGGGCCCTGTGACTCTGGATTAAGCTAAGGCCTGGAAACTCTGTTAGAATTAGCATGTAGCTAGTGTCCTGCTTATTTCTAACCGTGGAGCAAGAGCTGATGTAAAAGGTCACGGTGCCCGGTTACGATCTCAGCGGTCTGAGACTCCGCTTGTAATCTAACCGTCCCAGTCGATATTAGATTTCCACAGGCGATCAGCATGACTACAGCCTCACATGGCAGCTAGTCTGCTGTGAGGGTGGGATACCCCTGTCCAAGGAGCCCTTTTTAGCTTCTTGGGTTAGCCAAGTTAGCTAGTAGCTACACTTGTTCATTTGTTCCAACCCTGTTCCAAACGTAACAGCCCCACCCTCAGCTCCACCTCTTTTCCAAATTTTGGATTGTCTGGGCGTGATGGGACCTGTGACACGGTCAAATAGGTGGTGGTGGGAACCTCCCATTTGAGCACAAATCTCATAATTCGAGCCTGTGGACACGAATGGTCCAGTATATATGTCGATGGGAAAAGCCTGTGGTGTCTTCCTTTAATTAAACAAAGGTGGCTGTGAGACTGATTCTTATATTGCATCCAGGCTGCTGTGTCTGCCCTCCCACAGGGCCGGTCAAGCCTTGGCAGCGCTGTGCGTGTGATCCTCACAGCACGTCTCAGTGAGGGAGAGAGAGACTGATTCAGTCAAAGTTAAGTTAAAGTCCCATTAGCCATAGTACACTGCTGAAATTACATCTCCACATTTGATCCATCCCCATGGGGAGCGGTGAGCTGCAGGTGTGGCTGCGCTTGAGAACTATTGGTGATTTAACCCCTCAATCTAACTCCTTAAAGCTGAGTGTCAAGCGGGGAGGCATTGGGTCCCATTTTTAAAATCTTTGACCAGACTGGGATTTGAACCCCGACCTCCCAGCCCCAGGGGATGGATGGTCAGATGGATGGATGGAGGGATGGATGAGAGGATGGATGGTCTCTTCTTCCGGCTCTTGTAGGGTGCAGAAGCTTTTTTCCTCCTCTCCTCCATATCTTATCCTCAAGGCCTTTGTCTATTTGTGTGTGCTGGGTGCACGGCTGCTTCTGCTTTTTTCTGGAAACTGGAAACTGAAATTCACTAAAACGGATCTCGTCAGTTGGTCTCAACGTGATTGATGAAAATTTTTCAACAATGAGAACGGGAGAAGGGGCTCCTGGATGCCCCGCCGGGACAGACCCATTTGGACACATCATGGACTCCTGGAAACAGTGGAACTTGATTTGCCTATCTCAGCTGTCTGTGGAGGACTCTGAAGACGTGTGGATATTCGTGGTGTTGGTGTCAGGTTTCCTGCTCATTGGCCTTGGAGGCTACCTGGCTTACTGGAAAATTAACGAGCTGTCGAGGAATATTGGCCTGATCCCGGAGCTCAGAGATGGTTTGCACCGCGCTGTGAATTCACAGACTCACATAACTGTCGAGATGAATCGTAAGCTTGGGACTTTGGCGGAGATTCATTCTTTGGCACAACAGATGGATGCCATCAAGGAGAGAGTGGACGAATCTGCACGGATTGGGATAGATTAATGTCCATTATTGGGATTTTGAGAGGTTGAGGACCAACAAACTGTAAGACAGAGAGAAAATTATCTCTGTCTGGCCCCAAAACAATTTCTAATCGGAATCTGGTGCCCTTGAGCCTGCAAGGCTACAACGAAAACTCCCCCCTCAGAAGATATGTGGAATGTGCCGTCGCTATGGCAACTCAACTCTGTCTCCTATCCCAGCCTGAGCGGGACTGCGGGAAGGCCGCTGAAGCATCCAGGGTCACTGCAACCCTCCAACCCTCAATGCTCCTCCCCCTATCCACACTGAGGTGACATGTGCTGCTTCTGTCGTGGCTGCAGGAACTGAAGCTGGGATAGTCCCAACCCACCACCCCACCTAGTGGACACTTATGTTGTGTTGTCTGAAGTCTGTTGCATTTCTGTCTGAGGTGTTTTTTTTGCAGAGCAAAGCTGCCCTCCTGGGGGAGGGTAACTCTGAAGTGCCTTTTTTTCCCTCCACCTGAACCAATCCAATCCTCATGTAACCCCTGGGTGACGGTGGCACAGGAGTTAAGTGCTCGCCCCGTAATCGGAAGGTTGCAGGTTCGAGCCCCGCTCAGTCTGTCGCTGTCGTTGTGTCCTTGGGCAAGACACTTAACCCACATTGCCTGCTGGTGGTGGTCGGAGGGACCGGTGGCGCCAGTACTCGGCAGCCTCGCCTCTGTCAGTGCGCCCCAGGGCAGCTGTGGCTACATCGTAGCTCATCCCCACCAGTGTGTGAATGTGTGTGTGAATGGGTGAATGACTGATTGTGTTGTAAAGCACCTTGGGGGGTTCTATGACTCTAGAAGGCGCTATATCAAATACAGGCCATTTAACCCTCTGATCTCTATTAAGGTAGCGCGACTCAGGGTTGCGAATGACCACAGTCACCAATTATTGTCATGCGTCTTTGCCTATCCATGTATGTCTGATCTCTGAGTTGTGTGTACTGAAACTCTAATTTCTCTCTGGGATTAATAAATTATCTTTGATTTTGATTTGATTACTGGGTGGATGGATGGATGGATGGATGGATGGATGGGCAAAACCTCAGTCATATTCATCAGTAGATGAGCGTCCTTAGACAATAACGACAATGAGCTCACATGGGAGAAACCTGGAGAATTAAAACTCAGCTGAAGGCAGATGAACCGTTTATTTCACTGCCGTCTCCTAATCTGAACGTTTCTCTCCTCCTGTAAATTCTGACTTTACCTGTTAGAAAGGGGTTTAGGATGTTGGTCTCGTACGAGTCATCTCTGCTTTACTATGTACTGATATTTTGGTGCTTCAGCTGAACTCTGATGAAAATTAGTTTAAACTAGAAGCTCAAACCTGAAAAAGGTAACAAGAGTTTGTTTTGTTTTTGTTTTTTGGTTTTTTTCCAGCTGAAGGAGATCATGATAAATGCAACACAGGTTTCATATTTCATTCTGAGCGCTTACATCGATGCCAAGCTGTTGAAATACTTAATCTTTGTGTTGCTTTTTGTTGTGTACGTTCTAATCGTTGGTTGTAACGTTCTGCTCATCGTGGTCATCTGTGTGAACAGGACTCTACATGAACCCATGTACATGTTTCTGTGCAGCCTGTTTGTGAATGAGCTGTATGGAAGTACAGGCTTGTTTCCCTTCCTGCTGATTCAGCTTCTCTCTGATGTTCACATCATTTCTGCTCCTCTCTGTTTCCTGCAGGTTTACTGTGTTCACACTTACTTAACTGTAGAGTTTTTTAACTTAGCCGTCATGTCTTACGACAGATATCTAGCCATCTGTTATCCTCTGCAGTATAACACACTGATGACGACGAAGAAAGTTGGAGCTCTGATTGCAGCAGCGTGGCTAGCTGCCTTCCTTGGCATTGCTTCTGTAACATCTCTGAGTTTCTCCTTGCAGCTGTGTGGAAACATCATAAACAAAGTCTTCTGCAACAACTACTCTATAGTTACACTGGCCTGCTCCGACACTACGGTTAATAATGTTTATGGACTAATTTGCACGTCTGTGAGCGCCCTGCTCCCTGTGGTTCTGATCATCTACACCTACATGAGGATCCTTAAAGTGTGTTTTTCTGGATCCAAACAGACCCGACAGAAAGCCGTCAGCACCTGCACGCCTCACCTGGCCTCTCTGCTCAACTACACCTTTGGTTCTTGTTTTGATGTATTACAGAGCAGGTTTAACATGTCAAGTGTTCCTAACATTGTAAGAATATTTTTGTCTTTGTACTTTCTGACATGTCAGCCTCTTTTTAACCCTTTGATGTACGGCCTGAACCTGTCTAAAATACGCAGCCTGTGGAAAAATCTGTTCTCTATGAAACTGCGATGATATGATTAGTATGATCTTACTGACTCATAAAAGCTCTCCTCTTTTGTTTTCCTGTGTGACAAATGTCTGAAGCTAACAGTTCCATCATGAAATCATCTTATTATTGTCTAACGTTGATAGTGGGAGGACTCCTATCACCATCTTCAGCTGGGTGCTGCACACGCAGCTACCACAACATTCAAGCACATTTAGATTTTTGTCATTTGTTGTAACAAACATAGTAACAAGTATATTTTCCCTACAAGGCCCAAAACCGTTGAGAAGAACAAATAAACCTGCAGACTGAGAAGAAACCATTCTGTTTGAATACTATGGAGACTTTAAGAATGTTCAGTAAAGATCTAGTCAGTCATAGGATGTTTTCTGATTCATTTATTAATAAATAATAATTAATATAGGACAAAACTCGGAGGTTAGAGCCCACTCATATTCATGGTTTAGTCATTTAGCCGGTAACTTAGAGATTCATTCACAAAACTCCGTGTTGAAACACTCAGAACTTTCTGGATCTGTAACTGGGAAACACGAAATATAAATACATCTAAGAGGCTCGTGAAAAGTGCCTGACGGAAAATAAATTCAGCCTCTGCTGAGAGTTGTGTGTTTAAAAAACACTTTATGTTCACCTGTTTTCCACAAGGTGGCTGAACTTTGACCTTAACAGCAGATTCTGGTACCTGCCATAGAAATACATGAAGGTGAAAGAGCAGATAGATAACGGCCAGAGGCTAAATTCCTTTGTGTAAAGAAGTATTAAACCCTCAGCTGAAAATGTTCTTCGATTTTCACGTCCGCATCTTTAAGAAAATCTGATGTTTTTAAATCAAAGGTTCGTATTGGAGGGGGATCCAGAGAGCATGCACCAGCTTTAGTTTATGGTAAAGATCACTGCACCCGAAAAGGAACAGAAAATACGTTACAGGATGATTTGTTTGTGATAAAAATGTGAGAAAACATTTTTCAACTACACTTCGACACATATTACACACAGCACTTAGATAGTTTAGTTTAATTTCCATGTTTCATGATTCCTATCTTCCTCGTCCGGTGACACTGGTGGGGTGGCGCCCTCTATGGACGAGCTACCACTGGCTAACACAATTAGCTTTGCTGCTGCAGTCACACTCCCAGCTCGCTACGATCCTGCAGTGCTCACAAACTGCTCTCATGACTTTAATGTTGCTACGTTTGTTAGAAATGCATGTAGAACTCTGATATATGGCAAATTTGCTGCAGCTGTAAACACAATTTTCCATTACCGTTGAGAGCCGAAGTTGAACCACTTACAGCTAATCATGTAGTAGCAGCAGTAGCGGTTTTAGGCACGGGCAGACAGGGCAGTTGCCCGGGGCGGCATTTTTTCATGACACAAAAGGGGCGCACAAGCGCGGAGTAAAAAAAAAAAAGGAAATCTGCGCCGCACCGAGGTTTTCTATTATCTGTCATATGACAGTGTCTGGATTGGAAACAGCAAGTTGGCGCCCCCTGCAGTTGCAGGCGCTCCTGCTGACTGAGAACGTTCACGTGCTCCGTGTGTCTGAAGAACAGGAAGGGGAGGGGTGCGGCGGGGGAATTCACCTCTGCGTCTTTCCCAAATGAATGAGCGTGCAGGGGCTGAATCAACTGTATTAACATGGCTAAAGTCAATCACATCTTAACGTTCTTCCATATTTCATTCATAATATCATAAACACAGGCCTATCATTCTTTCAGGTTTCTCTGAATTGTGTGAAATGGCCGAATAAAAAAAGGAAAAACAAAACGATTTTGTGGTCACCCCCCCATCAAGGTCAAATTGTTTAGTCCTGACTAAAGGAAACTTACTGAGTCAGGAGCCAAACAGAAGAGATGAACATAAAAAGGCTAAAACCACCAGGTGCCCCATTCAGGGGGAAAAAAAGAAAAAAGAGCAGAAAGATAAAGGTATGTAGCTCTCATGATGCATGTTTTCAATTTTTTGAACCAGTTAACTGGGATTTTAACGGTTAAATGCTGTCAACTAATTGCTAACAGAGCTAATAGAGCTGAAATATTGAAACGAATATTCAAATGGTTTGAAAAAAGTCCTTGAATCGTTTTTTTACTGATTCAAACTAGGATTTGTTAAATGCTCGCTGCAGCCTGTGGCCTGCCTGAACAACAACAAACATGTTGATCATGTTCACATAATAATAAATAAAACAACTCTACAAGCAGAAGAAAACTCTCCAGTCACCACTATCCTGTTTATTTATTGCTGATGGCTGCACTGATTATTTTTTACATGATTTGTTCTGTAAAAGTTGGCATTTTTGGTAGTCTACAGTTTTTTATGTCAGTTTAAATTACAATTTCAGAGGCAATTCTAAAATATTATGGATCATGAGATCTATTGGAGATCTACCCCAACTTTTGGACTGCTCTGCCAGTCACTGTGGCTCAAGCTGAGAGGAGCTTTTCAAAACTTGATCAAGTCATACCTGAGGTCACCTATGTTTCAGGGGTGGCTCACTAACCTGGCTCTGATTAGTATCAATCACTCAGTAGGGGAGCAGATTTCATATGACGACATTATTGATGACGTTGCATCAAGGTTAGGTTTTAATTTTAGTTTGTGTTTTCTGTTCTAAGTGCAATGCTGTAGTGATTATCTTTAGTTTGTTATGTGTGAAATATTTTTGCTATTTAGAATATTTATTATCTATTATGTTCATATATTCTTAATATTTAGTTATTGTTTGTTTTTGTATATTTGATTCTATATATTTTGATACAGTATATAATGTATAGTGCTTTACATTCTGACAACTTCATAGTAATTAATGTAAATATGTGCAACTTAGAAAAATGAATGTTCAATAGTCGTTCTAATAAAACATGCCTGTTTGTAGAAAACATGCGTGTGATCAAGCAGGTGGGGTCGTGTGGTGGTGGTGGTGGTGGTGGGGGGGGGGGGGGGGTTGGGGGGGGGGCGCTCAAAGGGGGCCTCGCCCGGGGAGTAATTCGATGTAGAACCGCCACTGAGTAGCAGCAGCAGCTATGAGGTGAGAGATCTTTGAGTGATTAGAGTAGAGAATTTTGATTTTCTAGAATGATTTATGACAACATTTCTTAATAAAACATAGTAAAATATTTGACTGTTTTTGAGTTTTAACACCTTTAGCACACTGTTTTGTCAAAAAAATCAACATTATAAAAAATATAAAAACTTCATAATTTTCTCTGTGTCATGTCCAGAGGACTTCTTTTGGGGGCGAATTGCAAGAGCTCTATAGAGTCGCAAATGAGCACAAAAATATTTTTGGCTAAAAAATCTTCAAAACATGCATCACTAAAGTGTGCTATAATTCAGTGCCTTGTCATTTTTAGAGAATCCATGCCATTTGGTGGAAAAAAGTAAAAACAGCAACTTCAGTCCTTGGTGGCTGCAGAAACACAGTTGGAGAAAAATAAATAAATTATGGTGATATTTAGCTTTGTTTGAAAAATGTCATCTGAATGGGAGTCAACGGCACAAAAAAATGGGAGTCAATGGCACAAAAAATGTCTACGCAATGTTTTAAATGGAGTGAGTGTGTGTGTGGGGGGGGGGGTATTTTATTTTTGGCAAACTGCCCCAAAAACACACATCAGAGCAAAAAATATAAATAATTGCATCAGCACAGCCAACGTTATTCAAAAAAACATGACCGATTGCACAAAAAATGCACAAAGGACTTTTAAGGGTTAAGGATTTTCATAAGACAGGTTATGTGATGTTGATGGAAGAAACTAGGTTTGACTGGCATTTATCTGAAGCAGCACAGAGAGATCTGAATCCAGTTCACCCCCAGGCTGGTGACACAAGGCTTGAGCTAGATTGGAAGAGAGGACAGGTCTAATGGGCCATTCCCATCTGTACCGGGTCGGCCCGGGCCGGGTAGCCCCAGTCGGCCCCAGCCTGGCCCGGTTGATTCCACACATCCTTGTCTTAAGCCCATGTGGGCTGATTCTACCCACCAATCAGAGGCTTGCTCTAATGGAAGGTGTGAATTTGCTGTCAGCAGTGGGTGTGTTGGCCCTGGTCGGCCTGAAGCAGACCCCCTCGAGAAGAGGGCTGAGAATGAGCCTTGGTTGGCCCGGAAAAATACCAGGCCACCCAGATATGAAAGTGTTGGTTAGGATTTGATTTCATTGCAAAGACAATAGCATCGGTTTTGTCTTCATTTAGATGTAGGAAATTGGAGGATAACCAGTTTTGTATCGCTGAGAAACAAACCTGAACAGAGACTGAAGAAGAATGTGGGCCGACATAGTAGTAGACTTGATAGTCATCCGCATACATGTGATAGTTAGAATGAAGCCTAGAGGCAGTATGTAAATTGGACAAAGCAAAGTTCCCAAAACTGAACCCTGGGAGACCCCCCAAGGGAGAGAAGCTGGTTTAGAAGAACTGTTGTCAATGTAAACACTCAAAGATCTGTTATTCAGGTATGAACAAAACCAGTCAAGGGCCTTCCATTTCTAAATGATCCAGGTGTGAAGGCGATCAATTAGAATATTATGGTCAATGGTGTTGAATGCTGGAGAAATAGCAAGTAGTGGGAGTGGTACATGGGAGCCTGGGTCAGTTGCTGATAAAATATAATTGAGTACACAAACGTGTGCAGATTCTGTTCTGTGCAGCGGTCTGAACCCAGATTGAAAATGGTCTAAAAAACAATGATCTTCAAGGTTATAATTGGTTACACACAATCTCCATTACCTTGGACAAAAAAGGCAGTTTTTAGATTGGGTGAAAGACATGATGGTACTGTCTAGAACTGGTTTCTTTACCAGCAGATGGACAACCACGTGTTTAAATGCTGAGGGAACCATGCCAGAGGATAAACAGGTATTCATTTGTTCAAAGATGTGTGCCCAAAATATAAAAATACAGCATATTGTCTTATGTCTGGGCCAGCTTCTTGTGTATAATAATAAAGCAGACCCCCGTATTGAAATCTTCTTAATTCTGACAGAAAACAACAAAGACACCAGAAAATTCACATGTATGTCAAACAAACCCTGTGGACACTTGTGTTCAGACATAATCCCTCCAGCGTGTCCTGGGTCCTGGGCCATTGCTAAACAATCACTCAATCCAAATCATGTTGGGTCTACATTCAGGCTAGTTACTGTACAGTCATAAGCTGTAGTAAGATTTGATGTATCAGGTTGGCTGCGTCAAAAAGAACCAACAGACTTGACGGAAGCATGACCAGACTATGATGACAACATCAATACAACCACGAACCGCCATGAAACTCCAGGTCAGATTGAAATTCTTTGTATTTTGTTGCATTTGGAATCAGAATTAAATGTATTCCTGCTACATGAGATGGTAACGTGGTATGTGATGTGACATCGGTGACACCGCCTCTCTCAAGCATGCTCAGGTTAAACCGTTGATAAAAAGACCATCTCTTCCTCCAAATCATGTGGAGAACTACCGACCTATCTCTCTCCTCCCTTTTCTGTCCAAAATCATTGAAAGGGTGGCTTTCAAGCAGATCACAGAATACCTCTCACAAAACTGTGAGACCTCTTCAAATGGTCCAGAACGCAGCGGCGCGTCTGGTCTTCAATCAGCCAAAAAGAGCACACGTCACCCCTCTGTTCATTGAGCTCCACCGGCTACCGCTAGCAGCACGCATCAAATTCCAATCGCTAACACTAGCATACAAAGTCTGAGACGGTACGGCTCCCATCTACCTGAATCCTCTTGCAAAGGCTTACGTCTCGGCCCGGCCGCTCCGGTCATCACAGGATCGTCGGCTAGCAGTGCCTACACCACACTCAGGACAATCCAGACTCTTCTCATGCATCGTTCCACAAATGTGGAATGACCTACCAAGCACTACCAGAACAGAAACTCCTGAAGACCCTGCTCTTCAGAGAGCATCTTCTAAACTAGCACCCTCCCTGCACCCGTCCCCCCTCTCTACTGTCCACTCCTTGTTCCCTCCTCTCCATGATTGATGTCAAGTTGTTGTTGTTGTTATTGTTGTTGTTAGCCTCAAGGGCAACATGCCGATTATCACTTAAGTCGCTTTGGACAAAAGCGTCTGCTACATACATAAACATAAACATCCCTATGCTGAGGTAGGAGTAACATGGAAGTGGTAAAAAACAGCAGAAGGCAGAGTAAATGTTGAGTTGATGGTCGTCTGCGGTCCTGATCTCTAGCTTTTATACTGACTTTGTGACTTTGAGGCTTTTACTGATTACTGGTGGTTGTGTTGGAGCTTCAGCTGAACTCTGATGATTAATAGTTTACACTAGGAGCTCAAACCTGAGAGAGGAGGTAAGATCTTCTGCAGCTGAAGGAGATCATGATGAATTCAACACAGGTTTCATATTTTATTCTGAGTTTTTATTTTGATACCAAACTGTTGAAATACTTATACTTTGTGATACTTTTCGTTTTGTACGTTTTACTCCTTGGTTGTAACGTTCTGCTCATCGTGATCATCTGTGTGAACAGGACTCTACATGAACCCATGTACATGTTTCTGTGCAGCCTGTTTGTGAATGAGCTGTATGGAAGTACAGGCTTGTTTCCCTTCCTGCTGATTCAGATTCTCTCTGATGTTCACACCATTTCTGCTCCTCTCTGTTTCCTGCAGGTTTGTGGTCTTCATACTTACTTAACTGTAGAGTTTAATAACTTAGCCGTCATGTCTTATGACAGATATCTGGCCATCTGTTGTCCTCTACAGTATGATACGCTGATGACGATGAAGAAAGTTGCAGTTCTGATTGCAGCAGCGTGGCTAGCCTCCTTTCTTGGCATTAGTGTCTACACTTCTTCCGGCTCTTGGAGGGTACAGACGCTTTTCTTCTCCTCTCCTCCAAATCTTATCCTCAAGGCCTTTGTCTGTCTGTGTGTGCTGGGTGCACGGCTGCTTCTGCATATTTTCTGAAAACTGTAAACTGAAATTCACTAAAATGGATCTCGTCAATTGGTCACTCAATGCGGTTGATTCAATTTTTTCAATGATGAGAACGGGAGAAGGGGCTCCCGGATGCCCCTCCGGGACAGACCAGTTGTCTGTGGAGGACTCTGAAGACGTGTGGATATTCGTGGTGTTGGTGTCGGGTTTCCTGCTCATTGGCCTTGGAGGCTACCTGGCTTACCGAAAAATTAACGAGCTGTCGAGGAATATTGGCCTGATCCCGGAGCTCAGAGATGGTTTGCACCGCGCTGTGAATTCACAGACTCACATCATTGATAAGATGAATCGTAAGCTTGGGACTTTGGCCGAGATTCATTATTGTCACAAAAGATGGATGCCATCAAGGAGAGAGTGGACGAATCAGCACGGATTGGGATAGTTTAATGTTCATTATTGGGATTTTTAGAGGTTGAGGACCAACAAACTGTAAGCCAGAGAGGAAATTATCTCTGTCTGGCCCCAAAACAATTTCTAATCGGAACCCGGCGCCCTTGAGCCTGCAAGGCTCCAACGAAAACTCCCCCCTCAGAAGATATGTGGAATGTGCCGTCGCTATGGCAACTAAACTCTGCCTCCTATCCCAGCCTGGGCGGGACTGCGGGAAGGCCGCTGAAGCATCCAGGGTCACTGCAACCCTCCAACCCTCAATGCTCCTCCCCCTATCCACACTGAGGTGACATGTGCTGCTTCTATCGTGGCTGCAGGAACTGAAGTGGGGATAGTCCCAACCCACCACCCCTCCTAGTGGACACTTATGTTGTGTAATGTCTGAAGTCTGTTGCATTTCTGTCTGAGGTGTTTTTTTTTGTTTTTTTGCAGAGCAAAGCTGCCCTCCCGGGGGAGGGTAACTCTGAAGTGCCTTTTTCCCTCCACCTGAACCAATCCTCATGTAACCCTCTTACCTCTATTAAGGTAGCGCAACTAAGGGTTGCGAATGACCACAGTCACCAATTCTTGTCATGTGTCTTGCCCATGTATGTCTGATCTCTGAGTTGTGTGTACTGAAACTCTAATTTCCCTCTGGGATTAATAAAGTATTGATTGATTGATTTGATTGAGGATGTTGTTGTTTAACCTTAACCCAAACTACATGATGAATCTGTTGTTTTGAACATTTTTGGTTAAATTATGACCCTGTAATTCATCATCACCAGAGTATAAATGAGTGAATGAATAATGGATTATCTGTGAGGAGCTGTGAGTGCCTAGAAACACCCTAAATAAACCTAACCTCTAGCCCAGGGGTGTCAAACTCATTTTAGCTCAGGGGCCACATTGAGGGAAATCTAGTCCCAAGTGGGCCGGACCGGTAAATTAAAAACAACTTCAGATTGTTTTCTTTGTTTTAATACAATCAATATAAAACAAGGCTGGAGCCTGAGGACAGCGTATCCAAAATAGTACAAGTACAACACCTGATGTGTACTTGAAAATTTGAAAAAAAAAAAAAAAAATCAATAAATTTAAAAATCATTCCTTAGTGATTTAAAGAGTTCACAGATCACATGGCAAGATCAGTTTCATGCAGCATTTAAAGTATATTTTACTCATTTTACTTTACATCTTTTAGCTTTCACCGGCACATCAATATCAGAAGTCACATCTTGAGTGGCAGCCAACTTCAGGATGTGATTCAAATTCTTGTGTGAGCCTTGAGTGCAGCTTTGTTTTATTTATACTCATTACAGAGAAAACTTGCTCACAAAGATAAGTTTATTTTCACTCTACATTGTAAAGTATGAAAATAAAGTTAACACAACCATCTCGCGGGCCGGATTTAACCTGCTTGCGGGCCGGATCTGGCCCGCGGGCCGCATGTTTGACACCCCTGCTCTAGCCATTTGTTGTTGTTGTTACCCAGGACTGTGTTTTACAGAATTGTGTGAAACACCATTTTGGATCATTCTGGTTTTTCAGAGATTAGAGGAGAGAGTCGAGGTTGTAAAAAATAAAATAATTATAAATATAATAATAACGTGGTTACTCGCAAATGTAGGCCAGACAGCTACAAATTTTATTAGTTTAGTGTTGAAAGCAGTTTCTGATATTAAAAAAAACAATCATAAAACTGGAAATATATTCAGTTACAGTTTCTATAAACACAACAGCAGCGTCTCAAACTGTGTAAGGGATGGAGGACAAGTGGCGTGTCAGATACAAACATTAAATCAATCATTTAAAAGCTTTCCTGTTTTCTCATCAATGCAGCTCACCAACAATAATCTAATCCTAATCTACATAATCTCACCCCTCACTGAGAGCTCAGGTGAAGCTTTAGGAGCCTGTTTCAGGTATGATAAGCAAAACTCAACATGTCTGATGAGTTAGTTATTTGTGTTTTCTCCACATATCAGACGCTTACACGCCTCACTGATGCCGCTCATTTTCAGCCCGTACAGAAGCGGATTAAAGAGCGGCTGGCAGGTCAGGAAGTACAGCGAAAGAATGATGGCCAGCACAGCCGGAACGCCGCTCAGATCAAACCGGCTCTGGACAATCTGAAAACAGCAACCAAAAAAAAAGTTCAGGATACAAGCCAGGTGAGGAGAGCAGGTGCTGACCGCTTTCTGCCGGGTCTGTTTGGATCCAGAGAAGCAAACTTCAAGAATCTTTGCGTAGCTGTAAAGAATCATAAAAAAAGGAAGCACAATGGAGACGGCGGTGTAAAGAAGACCCAGAATGTTGTTGAGTCTGGTGTCCAGGCAGCTCAGTTTAACTATAGAATAGTTGCCACAGTAAATCCTGTCGATGGCGTTCCCACAGAGCGGCAACGGGGCGCTCAGCGACACCAGGACCGCTATAGAAAAGTAAGGGAACAACCATGTGACGGCAATAAGCACGGCAACTCTTTTAGACGTCATCAGAGCCTGGTACTGCAGAGGCAAGCAGATAGCAACGTATCTGTCATAAGACATGACAGCTAAATTCAAAGCCTCTATACTTGCGTAAGAGTAAACACAGAAGATCTGCAGGAAACAGAGAGGAGCAGAAATGGTGTGAACATCAGAGAGAAGCTGGATCAGCAGGAAGGGAAACAAGCCTGTACTTCCATACAGCTGATTCACAAACAGGCTGCACAGAAACATGTACATGGGTTCATGTAGAGTCCTGTTCACATAAATAACCACGATGAGCAGAACGTTACAGCCAACGATTGAAACATACAAGGAGAAGAGCAACACAAAATACAGATATCTGAGGGCTCCGGAGTCAAAGTAAGCAGTCAGGGTGAAAAAGGAAACCTGTGTGGAGTTGATCATGATGTTTACGCAGCTGCTGCAGCTCGTCCGAGCCGTCTTTTATTCTCTACATTCATGGACGTAATTTTCACTTTAGAAGTGGGGGGGACACGGGGGGGGGGGGGGGGGGGGGGGTATCTTTACTAATGGGAAACAGGCTTCAACACAAACGGTTGTTTTCTGCTTGGTCCTAGAGCTCAACCAGTGTCAATTTAATATAGCGTAATATTGTTTTGGATGGTAAAAAGTGCAGGAGTCAAAACTTGACTTTGGAAAAAGTGGGGGGGACATGTACCCCCGTGCCCCCCCCCCCCCCCCCCCCCCCCCACACACACACACAAATTACGTCCATGTCTACAGTCAGCTAACTTCCACGGCAGCATCATTATTGAATTAGCCTCAAAGAAAACACGTAATCAGTCTTACAGATGGAAAAAAGTACAGAAATCACACATCTGTCGTAGCACTAACAACCTGTCACCATCACATCCAGAGATAACTCAAAACGCATCAAGCAACTGAGCATTTCTCACATTTGAATGGTTCCTTTTGTTTCAGCCGGGCAGATCCAGTCGTTACGTCCCGACACAAAAACTCCACGATCGAAAGTTGGTCAACTTTCTTTTTCACAGGAATGTAAAGAAAATATATTTGTAAAAAAGTTAATAGACCAAAAAAAATGGTTCCTGTGTAACGACACAATCTAAAAACATAAAGGCAAAGATACTTTGTCTAACCTTTCTGTCTTTTGTAGAGAAAAATGATGTTTTATCACATATGCAACATTCACGTGTTCATGGTTAATCATCAGTATGCTTTGTGAAAAATAAGTTTGATCACACATGCTTAAAATTAATCATCTGTGTGTTAATCCCCATATTCATTTCAATGTTCATGCGTTACTGTGTTTTTTCCCTCCTCAGCACAAGACTAGTCTGCATGAGATATGGTCTCAAGGTCTCATGCGTTCCTTCTAACCTGCTTATTTTCAGCTCAACAGAATAATGAAGAATGAACTCTTTTCTTTTAATTAATCAAAAAACTCTATTTTAATAAAGCCAATCCAACAAAGTGTTAGTCAATAAATAAGATGTGACTGATCTGTGAAATAAAAATATTACTTTATTATAATCCTATAGAATATAATAAGTTATATGACTTAAAGTGTTCCAACAGGACTCATTTCACGTAGTGTTAAAAAGACATGACACATTACTTTCACTGATCCAATCAGAATCTTACAGAACTGACAGAGGCGTGATTTTGATGGTGTTTGGTAATTTTTCATTTGACAATAAACCAAAACATCCAAAGTATAAAACTATGCCACGTCAGCTCTAAAGCTTGGTTTATGCTTGACGCATTCACTTTCCGCGCGGTAATGCAGCTCGCGGATGGAACGCGCTTCACAACTCGCAGCTTTTATGGTTCGTGCGGCTCGTCTCTGCGGTGAGCCAATATTCTCCCAAACTGAAAGGGGTAGCATGGAGCTCTACGGCATGCACCCAACACTACACCATAGTAGAAGTAGAAATTACTGTTGTTTACAACATGGCATTTCAGCATATTTAACAGCGTTCTCGTCTTTTCCGACAGTGCGAGCTATTTCTCTCCAAGAATTATTAACAACATGTTGATCACGGTGATCTCTGAGAGCTGAATCATACAAATGTCTGTATTTACGAACCTCTGCCATACTAGTTCTTGATGGTCCGCCATGTTTTTCCGTGTCCGTCCGTCCGTGTGGTTAGAAATTTTCCGAGGTGCGCGTTGCAGAAATTCTGGGCCGTGCGGAGACGCGGTGGAGGGGCGTGGTTGTTAAAATGACGCAACTTTTCCGCGCGGAGCTGTGCGGACCTCGCGGACGCGTCAAGCATAAACCAGCGGTAACACAAGTTCAAAGCGTTCCAGAGAAAGTGACGGAGTGGCCAGTCCTGATCTCTACTCTTTAACCAAAAGAACCAATGACAAGCTGAAAAATTCGTCGCTATACCAACTGCGGCAACAGTTCCTTTCAGAATAAAAGCTGAACCATCAAGACCCAGGCTTGGGTCTCACCAGATGCCAACAAACTGTCGTGTACCCAGAAGTAACTCACAGACTGGACTAGTCGGCACCGCTGCTTTCCCTACCGGCTCGGTTCCAGAGGAGGTCAAGCTAGGCCTCGACATTCCTGATCTAACGGGGACTTCCACAAAGGGTAAGTAGACCGGCAAATGGTGTCTCGTGTGTTTATGAATCTCCTAACAAAAGCTTAATGCGAAGACATCACCTTCAGTTCCCGTCAGAACTAATCGTCCCTTCGGATTTGTATTTGGGGGGGGGGGGGGGGGGGAGCAACCCAATCGCAGGAATAATAGTCATTAACCTGAGTTCAAAAAAGTGTTTTAATGACCAAACTTCCTCCACTGACTGTGGGAACCAAAAAACACAAACCAAAATCATTCCATAACCAGGCAACTAGGTAAAACATCTCCATGCTGAGGTCTGGCAGCAGTTACCTGAAATAGGGTGAGGGCAATCATGGAGATGTGGTTCAGCTGCAGCACTCCAGGAGGTTCACAGGGAAGGGGAGGGCTCCTGAGAGGAGCTGCAGCTGACCTGAATAAAACAACAGAAAAGAGGTTAAACAAACACAAAAAGGGGCGAATCATAACAATTTGCTGGTTCTGATTAACATCACACATCATCCATCCACCGTCTCATCCATCTTTAGTTACACCATACATTTAGTTTTAAAGTCAGTCTAGTTTAATTTGTTAGTAATAAAATTCTTAACTTTTAAACTTGACTCTCTCTAATCTGTTGTCTCTGAGTGAATTCGAAGCTGTTATCTAATCCCTGCAATAAAAAGTTCCAATCTTCTGGTTTAAATAACCTCACAGGTCCGTAAGGTGGATTTCATATTTCCTATGGAATCCCACGCCTTATGGCTCATTAAATAACATGTAATCTAATTCATTACATCATGTCCCTTTAAACTGAAGGATGCCCATCTGATTCACCTGTGTCTGGTACAAGCATGAGCACTCAATGAGACCTGTAGCTGATTTATGCAGGTGTATACTGCTAGAAGTGTCAGCCTGTGCAAGGAGATTCTCAACAGGCGAAGGCCAAGTGCAGATTAGATCGTCTAAAAGCTGTTCAAAGGGAGAAGGCCAGGGCGTGGGTCATTGCAGCCTTAGCAAAGGAAGATAGGATAGGAAGCAGACGAGGCAAAGTGTCCCCATCTCATCTGAAAGAGGGAGTGAGAGCAGAGAAGAATAGTTGCCAAGACGATGGCCTTCAATAAAGTTTGAGGTGTCAACATGAAACTTTGCAGCAGGAGAGGAAGGATAAAAGGTGGGCATCTTGTAAAACCTTCAGATTTGTCACAAGGACTGGGGTGACAGAATCTCCCCTAATGCACATGGGTAATAAAGTGTGGATGATTAAAACACAAGGCGTTCCCTGGCTAGCCGAGAACCTTAGTCCCTCCAGAATGTCCCTTGGGTCTCCTCTCAGTTGGACATACCCAGAAAACCTCACCGGGAAGGCAGTAGATCCACTCCAAGCCTCTCCCGGATTACCAAGCTTAACATCCTGCAGATGAACCACATGATCTTGTTCTTTCAGTCACTACCCAAAGCTCGTGACCATACGAGGGTAAGAGCGTAGATTGTAGGATGTAGAGCTCAGCCCCTCTTCGCCACGACTGATCGGTACAACACCCACATCACTGCAGATGCAGCACCAATCCGCCTATCAATCTCTTTCTCCAGCTCTCCCTCACTCGTGAACGAGACCCCGAGAATCTTAAATTCTTCCACTTGGGGCAGGACCTCCGTTTTCCGACTCAAGACCACAGTCTTGGATTTAGAGTAGCTGATTCTCATCCCAGCTCATTCCCACCAATGATTCACACTCGGCTGCAAACCGCTCCAGCAAAAGCCAGAGATCACGTTCTGATGAAGCCAGCAGTAAGTAGGTAAGTAAATTTTATTCATACAGCACTTATCACAGACATAGAATCACAAAGTGCTTCACATAGATCAAAACAAAATAAAACAAAGTCATGAAATCAAAATGCTCTCAAAACAGAATCAGATTAACATCAGAAAAAATAAAGTCATAAAATTATGAAATTTCATAAACAGATGGAAGATTAAAAATTGAGTTAAAAATAAGAAAATAAAAGATTTATGTAAAAGCAGCTTTAAATAAAAGGGTCTTTAGCTGTTTTTTAAAAGTGTCCAGGCTGTCGATGTTGCGTAAGGATAAAGGAAGATCATTCCAGAGTCGGGGTGCAACAGTCTGGAAGGAGTGATCACCTCGACTTTTATATCTGGTCTTTAGAACTTCTAGAAGGTTCTGGTGGGTGGACCTGAGGGCTCGGGTTGGAGCATAAGGCTTTAACAGTTCAGTAATTATAGGGAGGAGCTTGACCATGTAGAGCCCTGAAAGTTCTAGTCAGGACTCTAAAATGAACTCTAAAGTTAACGGGTAACCAGTGCAGAGACATCAGAATAGGAGTGATGTGAGCTCTTCTGTTTGCTCCAGTAAGGAGCCTCGCTGCAGAGTTCTGGACCAACTGAAGGCGGTCAAGAGCTTTTTTGTTAAAACATGTGAAGAGTGTTACAGTAATCTGGATGGGAGGAGATAAAGGCATGGAGAAGCATTTCTAGCTCATGTTTTGACACCAACCTTCGCAGTTTGGAGATATTTCTTAAGTGATAAAAACAGTTTCGGATCAACGTTTTTGAGTGGCCTTCAAGAGCCACTGATTGGTCAAAAACACCCAAATGTCTTAAGTTTGTCTTGACTGCAGAGGATAAATGACCCGGTTTTAGACTAATCAGGGGAACCATGCTCTCAGGGGCAATGATCAGACATTCAGTCTTTTCAGAGCTTAACTGAAGTAACTTATCTTCTAGCCAGCTGGTGATAGCTGATAGACACTCTAGTAATTCAGACAGTTTATAGAACTCAGAATCCTTAAAGGAGCAGTACAGCTGAATATCATCTGCATATAGGTGATAAGAGACATTATGAAAAGAATCACGTATCTGTCCAAGAGGGTGTATGTACAGCAGAAACAACAGTGGACCCAAAACAGAGCCTTGGGGTACCCCACAGAACAGATCAGTAGAATCTGACATGATTTGGTTTATACAGACACTGTAACTTCTGTTAGAAAGGTACGATCTAAACCAGTCTAGATTGGATTTGAACTGGCGTTAGAGCTGACGTGGCGTAGTTTTATACCTCGGATGTTATGGTTTATTCTCGAATGAAAATTACCAAACACCGTCAGAACCACGCCTCCGTCAGATCTGTAAGATTCTGATTGGATCAGTGAAAGTAATGTGTTATGTCTTTTTAACGCTACGTGAAATGAGTCCTGTTGGAACACTTAAAGTCACAGTACTTATTATTTCTATTGGATCATAATAAAGTAATTAATATTTTGATTTCACATATTGGTCACATCTTATTTATTGACTAACACTTTGATGGATTAGCTTTATTAAAATAGAGTTCTTTGATTAATTAAAAGAAAAGAGTTCATTCTTCATTCTTCTGTTGAGCTGAAAATAAGCAGGTTAGAAGGAATGCATGAGACCTTGAGACCATATCTCATGCAGACTAGTCTTGAGCAAAGAAGGGAAAAAACACAGTCTTCCGTTCCGTTACACCAATAATGGCGTAAATTGATCTATCCCAATCCGTGCTGATTCATCCACTCGCTCCTTGATCACATCCATCTCTTGTGCCATTGCATGAATCTCAGCCAAATTTCCAAGCTTACGACTCATCTCGGCAATTATATGAGTCTGTGAATTCACAGCGCTGTGTAATCCATCCCTGAGCTCGGGGAGAGCGCCAATATTCCTCAACATTCCGCCATGACATGCACCGACAACCCTGTGGCTGCAGCTTCGTTTGGCCACCTTGACAATAGTGGTACAGAACATTGTCCACGCAGACTCAGTGTCCCCCGCCTCCCCCAGAATGCAGGTGCTGTTGGAGGTGGGATGTGAAGCTCCTTCTGACAGAAGACTCTACCAGACGTTCCCAGTAGGCCCTCTTGTAAAAACTGCTAAGTTAGCATATTTTTAGGTCCTGTGTGAGCACGTCTCGTGGGATTTCGAGGAAGTAGCGCAGTTTGAGCTGAAGCTAACTGCTACGAGTGAAAACGTTGCACCATGTCCGCCCAGCTTTAGTGTGTTCTCCACACACAAGCGTGGAGTTAGTGTGCGTTCTCGTGCATAAGTAGAGAAAATCTCCATGAAATTTTCAAAAAGCATCGTTAGTGATGTTACTGCACCCTAATACTTATTGTGATAACTAATCCTTGCTTGCAGCAATGTTACCACAACAACTGAAATTGGCGTGCATTATTTCCATTTAAAAAAACTGGTAACAGAAATAATTTAAACAACTATCGTCCAAGTTCAATTCTGGTTACGTTTTCTAGGGTCCTGGAATAAAGTATTTACCTTTGAATGCAACATAATCATACCAACCCAAGCATTTTTTAAAAGAAAGTGTTGGATTTAATAGAAAAGAAAAAAACTGATACAACTGGTATCACATCTAAAGCATTTGACACCAGTAATCTAATTACTCTTATTGCAAAGTTAAGACGTTATGGTATGAGAGGGTTAGCACTAGGATGGTCTCAGAGCTACTTGTTTCTGTAAGTTTATGTTAATAATTGAAAACTGTCTGTATTTCAGTTTTAACTTTATTTCTGCATTTTGAAAGTCAGTCACATCCTTGACATGGCACAGGAACATCATCTGCTGTAACCATGGCAACAGCAGAGCATCCTGTTAATTGTGCTACTGTTAGAGTCCGAGCGTCCACACAGACCAGGTCCTCTGGGTTCTGGTGTCCCATCGGGGCTCATTACTGTCAGACGCAACGGCAAACATGATGAAATCAAACAGACGACCATCACGCTGATGCTCCAGGTGCAAATAGCCACGAGTTGTTTTAAAGTTTCATCATCAACTTTAAGCCGATTGTGCACTCGGTAATTATTCCTCACACTGTGTAAAACTTCTGTTGAGTGAGTAAAGCTGCATGTTTTTGTCAGTTTGGACTATTACGGGTCAGTTGGTTGGAGGAGCGGCAGACAAGAGCAGTGTTAGGAAAATAATAATGAAATAAACGAAAAAATAAACCAATAACTGAAATTGTCTATGTTTCTGAAGTAGTTCTGCAGGATTTTATGGTTGTAAAAGGATGAGATTGTCGGTTGAGTTGGGTCTGACTGGCAGGAGGCCCACAGTGAGATTATCAGGCTGTGAGAGTTTTAGCAAAAATCTTAGCTGTTCCAAGAGCTGGGAGTCTTCTGAAGAGCCTCCTGACACTAAACTTAACAAACCCAAGTAAGAAGATGTCCAACCTCGTGATTCTGCTAATCCAAAACTGCACCTTGACCTACCTAGATGGGATTCTAATCCTGTCTGGTGGTACCAACCTCTCTCACCCTCAGAGAGCTGCAGAGGGTCGAGGCCTCCCTCTGGTGGCTGCACGAGGCCACTTCATAATGAGGTAAGAAATACTCATCATATTGAAACTGCTACAGAATAATTTTTGAAACTACAGTTGGGTTTCAGCTGAACCCTTCTGCACTCCCCAATCCAATCCAATTTTATTTATGTAGTGCATTTAAAAAACATTGTTGAGGTATCCAATATATTAAAATGCACCTTATTTGCAGATGATACAACTTTTTATTATTCAGGAGATAGAAGTGATACAAACAGGGATGAAAAAATTAAACGATGGTTTGATGGGAACAAACTATCATTAAACAGTGATAAATCATGTTTTATGATATTTAGTAATACATATTCAAATGATGAAATTTTACTAAATATAGGTAGATGAGATTAATATTAAAAGAGTTGAAGAAGTCAAGTATCTGGGAGTCATCATTGATGAAAAAATGTCATGGAAATTGCATATAAATAGTGTCAAAACTAAAATATCTAAAACTATTGCACTGTTACATAGAGCAAAATGGTTACTTGATAATAATTCATTATATTTGTTATATAACTCACTGATCGTACCGTACCTGAACTACTGCATTGAAATCTGGGGAAGAACATATAAAACTTACACAAATTCCATTTACATCTTACAGAAAAAAGCAATAAGAATAATCACAAGGAGCAAATACAGACATCCGTCCAATCCATTATTGATAAAATTAAAAACACTAAAATTCTACGATCTGGTGGACTACAATATTTTAAAATTTGTATATAATGCAAACAAAAGGAACGTACCTGCAGGTTTAATCAAAAGATTTTCTAAAAGACATCGTAAATATGATTTAAAAGGACATGAATTATTTAATATACATCGGATACTCTTAAAGGAACATTGTGTGTCCATATATGGAGCTAAATTGTGGAATAAATTAAATAATGAAATCAAGAATGCAAAATCAATATTGACTTTCAAAAAAGAGATAAAAAATGAAATGATTAACTTATATAGATCCGTTACATAAATGCGTGAGGGGAGGGGGGTTGGGGGGATGAAAGAAAAAAAATTTAAAAAAATAAAAAAGGAAAAGGAAACATATGTGTATATATGTATGTATATGTAGGTATATGGGTCTATAATTCAATTCAATTCAAGTTTATTTATATAGCGCCAAATCATGACAAGAGTCGTCTCAAGGCACTTCATATAATAAACATTTCAATCCAGGTCAGTTCATTAAGCCAATCAGAAATAATGTTTCCTATATAAGGAACCCAGCAAATTGCATCAAGTCACTGACTAGTGTCAGTGACTTTACAGCAATCCTCATACTAAGCAAGCATAAAGCGACAGTGGAGAGAAAAACTCCCTTAACTATAACTTTATGCTTCTTTCTGTGTAAATTGTTTTCTCACGTTTTTTCAATTCATGGGTGGAGGTTGTGTCGGCCAACCAGTCCAGAAACTATATTGTTCAAACTTTTTAAGAATCATATGATTGTTTCATTTGTATTAATGTTATTTTAGTTTAAAAGGGGCAGATAATATAAGTTTTTCTTCTTTCTGTCCCCTTTTTCATTTTGGCTTGTAATGATTTAGTTCTGTATATTTATTTTAATGTCAATAAATGAAAATAAAGTTAAAAAAAATAACAGCATGTCAGCTGACCAAAGCACTGCACAAAGTTAAACCTAAAAAGCCGTTACGTACATAAAACATAATTAAAAACGGTCATAAAATAGAAACACCTAAAATCAAAACAAAAGTTAAAACAGCCGATAAAAACAGAAGTTACAAAAAACGGAGCAGAGGCACTGCATAAAAGAACGATCATTGGCCATAAGCTAAATTAAAGGGACATTATGGAAGTTTGACAGCCAAAACATGTAATAAATGTCTTCTTCATACATTCTCCTGCAATGCCCTGGTCCTGTAGAATGAGCCCTGGCATTTTTACTGTGATTGCCTGTTTTTCTGTAAAATCACAGAAAAAGAGAGATGCTCGGGTCGAGCAGGCTGCTTCATGCGCGTTCACGCTCAGGCATCGCCCGTAGCATTTGCTATCCGTAGCTTTAGCAGCAGAGAGAGAGGCAGTGCCACTTTGTCGCTGTTCCTAACGCCTAGTGACAAAGCTAGCTACATTTCTGAGGACCCTTAGCTACTTTCTGTAGAACTTTCTTCTAGATATTTCCTGCAAATTAGCAACAAAATAGCCATTTTCACTCCGAACCGTTCTTTGAACGTTGTTTCAGCTGTCATCAAGGATATAAAAGTTAGATAGTCTGAATGTTACTGGTGTGTAGCTCACCTTGTAAGATGTCTGACTCCCAAGCAGAAGACTTGGGTTCGATTCTGGATCGGAACATAGTTTATTTAGAGTTTCTTTTTTACATTAATGGTATATTTTTTACAGTAAGATGCCCAAATTTTTATTTGAGACTCGCAGAACGGCATTGAATTCACAGATAAAAAAGATGTGGGTTCAACTTTCATTTTGGAACAACTTTTCAAGCAAGGGAAGGGAATGATCTGAGCATGCAGGAGGACTGACCCATCATAAACCTTTGTCGGCTGTGCTGAAGAGAAAGGTACAGAACCAAATTATTCTCCTGTCCTCTGTCCTCCGGGCCACACACACACACACACACACACACACACACGGGACTGTCTCAGCTGTTATTTTCGTTAAGGAGTGTGCACGTACAGCATGCGCGCCTCATGCACGAGCAGTGGTGGCTGGTGAAAAATATTTTGGTGGGGCTGTGCTATTTTTTATTTTTAAACAAACTTGTGCTTTCTGAGCTTTGTGCACAACTTCACTATTTCCTGAATTACGCACAGCTCTTTTATTTCCTGTCTTACATCATTGGACAAACTGATTAATCCAGGTGTGTCTGACTATTGGCACGCTGCCTTGTGGACTAAGGTTGAAAAATACTGCATTAAATTGCACATAAAATAACACGACCATAAATGGTAAATAGGCAATGCAAGAGGCAAGTAACAAAAACATTTTGTTTAATTTCAACATTTGAGTGAACACGAAAAATTATGAGCAGGTCACTGTTACAGTAATGGTAGTAAACACTACTTAGACAAAATGCCAGAAATTTACACTGTTAAATATTTCTGGAGTGTTGTGCCAAGGTCAACTTTATACAAAGATCAAGTGGATGCATTTGTGTGTGTGTGTGTGTGTGTGTGTGTGTGTGTGTGTGTGTGTGTGTGTGTGTGTGTGTGTGTGTGTGTGTGTGTGTGTGTGTGTGTGTGTGTGTGTGTGTGTGTGTGTGTGTGTGATACCTCATTTGTACAGAAATGTTGCCCTTCTGTCCTTCTGAGTGGCAAAGCTCTCGATGAGCTTTTTATTGAAGTCAGGAATGTTTGTGACAAGCTTTTTTTCCATGGAGAGCATGGCAAGAGCATTCAGCCCATCCTGTGTCATGGTGTTCCTCAGGAAAGTCTTAATCCTCTTTAGATAAATAAAGAAACAACAGATAAGTACATAGGAAACACTTTCATAGGAAATAATGTCATCAGTATCCTCTTACAAATGTCATATTTCCCAGTTTTTGGGACAATAAAACATTTCTGATTCTCAATCAGATGTTTTTACATTTGAGGTAAAAACATCTAATTGAGAATCAGAAATGTTTAATTGTCCCAAAAGCTGGGAAATTTGTTTGCTGCAGCAGAAGTGTAACAAGTAAAATGGAATCAGATTGATGTATGTACAAATTTACATGAAATACACATTTACGTGATTAAATATGTATAATAAGTATGTGTGTTGAAATTAGTTTTTACAGTTATTGCACATTAAACAATGTACATGTTATTAAACAAATGTCCCGGTTTGTGGGACAACCAAGGATTTCTGATTCTGATTGTCTTGTTCACAGAAATGTAATGTACAGCTTACCTCTGCACCCAGCTGCTGTTGTTCCCTTGTCAGCTGCATGGCAACGTTAGCTCTGCCTAGCATGGCTAGCTTCACCGTGTTGTTGTCCATGTGTGCCCGGGATGACTCGTGTTTCTTCACCTTCTCAGAAAAATGTTTCACGTCTGTAACTCCTGACTCATCCATGCCTTATCTGTCCCAGCCGTTTTGAATAACAAACACGGAAAGCAAAATAACGCATTAGCGTGATTGCATCCAGCTAGCCAAGCCTTCCTGGTGTACCAATTTCGGGAGAAGCCTCGTGTGTACAGTTTACCTCTCTCCTTGTCCTGCTGGCTTATCTTTACGTCGGGCTGATCTGGTCCAAGCTCTTTGACATTAAGTTTTTCCACCATAGTTCTCCTCTCGAACGGATACTGGAGAAGAGACCGAACTGAATTCAGTGGCTGCTGAGATCCGGTATCCGGTATCTGGTTGTAGTCACCGGCGGCGTCCATGTTACATCTGCGTCACGACCAACCAAAACGACTCTGCCGAGTTCTACCAAACACCAACGAATCCTTTGGCGGTAGCTCTATCGCCCATCATGCTTCTGAAACAACGTCGACGCTGATTGGATACATTCCTATTCCTACCCTTTGATTTTCTTGTCAGCAATTGGACGGCTGGTCCCGTCCTGTTTGGGCGATTCAAATACAGCCTACAGCCTCCACCGCTCGGCAGAGACCTATATATATATATGATTTATTTTTGTTACAAAACACACAATTAACTTAGAATATGTGATTATTGTTAATTTTATTTATTTATTTTTTAAATAAAAATTAAAAACACTGGGGAAAACTGGGAGGGCGGCGCCCTATCGCCCTCTACTGGCCAGCCGCCACCGTGAAGCTGCCATTACGCTTTTGGCCTGAGGAGGCAATTGCGACCATAAAAATTCAAAAGTCCGTAAAGTCCCTTTAAAAATTTGTCTTTAGGCTGGATTTAAACTGTGCCAGTGAGGAAGCCTGGCGTACCACCAGAGGGAGTGCGTTCCAGAGTCTGGGAGCAGCAAAGGCGAACGCACGCTCCCCACGAGCTTTATATTTCTCTGGTTGGCATTAAAACCGGACACGTTCTCCAGCTTGAATTTATCATCCATTACAGCATTTTAAGAGTTGTGGGTTAGAGTTAGCAGGTCTTTAAGGATTCACATGCATTCATTCCCTTTGAGGGTGAAAACAGTAATACTTGTTCTGTTCTCAGGTGCCCAACAGGTGGTCATGTTTCTTTAACATCACATCTGTGTTAACTAGGGGTCCCGATGCCTTGGTCTGCTATTTGAGCATGTTTTAGTGGCTTCCCTGCTACAACACATCTGACCTGAGCAGGTGATTAACAGGCGTCTGCTGAGCTCAATAAGCGGCAGAACAGGTGACTCAACCATTGAATCAAGAGTGCTGGAGCAGAGAAACAACACCCCCGACATAAACCCTAACCCTAGCAAAGCACGCGTGGGTTACAGCTGATGAAAACCCAATATGCAAAATCTCTGATATTCAGAATATTGTGAAAATGTTCCAGTTTTCTAGACTCAAATTGTCACGTTCTAATCAGCTGATAAATCCAGAACACCTGCAGAGGGCTCCTGAGCCTTTAGATGGTCTCTCAGTCTGAGCTGGATTACTGACAAATTAACTTTTGCATCATAATCTCATTTTTCTAGTTTTATTAATAGAAACCTTGCTGGGTGGCACCTGTCCAGGTAAGCCCAATCCTGCAAACCATTGTTATGTTGTATTTTTGATCAAAGACTAAAACCGAAACATTTTCTAAACCATAGAAATGTGGTCATGTTGGCTGGGAGTGTCAAAGGTCCTGAAACCCAACCAGGTGACACTCCTGAGGGATGTCAGCAGCTGTCCTGTGATTGGCTGCAGTTTCAAAGAGCTGAAAGTGTGTTTACATGATCAACAGGAAGCAGCTTTAAGAGAAACATGTCAGAGTCAAAAATAAACTTTATTAATATAATAACATTGTTTATCATTAACCAATAACAGAAGTTCACTTTCAAGTCCCAACACACACACACCTGGAATTGAGTGGATGGCGGTTACATTTCAGTGTTACAGGAGCGTCGTGAGTTCGGATCTGGTGGTTCTGACTGGACTTTCTGCGGTCATCAGGAGGAACTTCCTGATCCAGTTTGGAAAACAGCTGATGAGGTTGAAACGTGACGTGATCATCATGCGGAACTGGACCCACTTCCTGCTGCAGAACCCCTGGCACCGATCTGCCACGGCCAGAACCGGAACAGGACATCCTCACGGCGCTGTACTTTCTTTAGGTTTTGATTTTCTCATCTGACACCACAAAAATCAAAACCTAAAAAAACCACAGAGCGGTGGGCTGACACCGCCGACCCACTTCCTGTCCTGGGTTTTAGGAAGCGTCACCAGCTGCTCACCAAAGAGAAAAGGTTGGTTCAAAATATTTTCTGTTCTTTGGCGCAAGAAAAATTAAACGTTGGTTCTAAAAGCCTCAAATAAAAATGTCTAAACCCCAAATAAAACTAATACATAAACACACAGTATAAATAAGAGGTGGTGGTCCTGCTCTGATCGGGTGTGAATCCTAGGAACGGACTCAGTCAGCAGTTGGAGGAGCCACATCAGTCACCAGGATCAAAGCCATGTCAAACAGATGTTGGAGCGAGGCTCTCCCCACTCACAGCAGAGGAACCCTCATCAGGACCAGTCCTGGCAGAACTTCCTGCTTTCTGTTTCATCCACAATGATGATGATGATGAATGGTATCCAGCCCAGAACCAGAGTGCCTGGGTCCTTGGTCCGTGTGAGAACTAACTGGGGCTCTGGATGAACTTGGTTCTTAACAGAACCACCATAAACAGATGTTCAGTGAGCCAGAGATGGCGGATAAACAGCTGTTTAAAACTTCCTGTCCAATAACTGCCCCTGAGACCCACAGGCTGAACCGATCAGAACCACAACTCCCGTTAGATATACGCTCAGTCCGGCAATGATCGAGAGGTTTCCATAGCAACCATCTTTTTATATCCATCACTCTAAATGTTATTCACTACAGAAGGTTTAAAACCCCCGTTTTACGTAGAAATGAACAATTTTACTGATTCTTGATTTTTGTCGCAGCTTCACTGATTTTATGTCATTTATTATTTTATTGTTTAACAGAGATCCGCAGGCAAACATCCCATAATGAGCTCTGGTGAACCAACCCATCACCTGGATCCGAGTGACGCTGCACAATCCGCTCTCCGAACTCGGTCCACAATCCTCCGGTTTTAACCGCACGAAGCCCGTTTTACCGAACTACTCTCTGGTCGGCGGAGTCTGTTCTCCAGTCGGTACCGGGGGACTCAACGGTCCTTTCGGGGCTGACTAGCAGGACGCCCTTGTTCGTGTCGGTAGTGGTTTGACTGGTACCTTGAGGACCGGAACACGGCGGCTGAAGGTTCCGCCCAGTCACGGACGTTACGGTTCGGAACCGATTGTGCGGCTGCGTAAAAAGGCGAAACCACGAATAAAAATGTCACTAACTCATTCTGTTAGGGCCGAACCGGAGTTCGGACTCCTCTGATCCGGTCCGTCTTACAGTCCGATTCGCAGCAAAAGAACTGGCGCTGAAAACCGAGGCGGGGCTTAAACGTATGATTTTAGGGCCGACCAGAGCGGGGGTTAGCTCGGCTACTAGCCGCTAGCGGCGGTCCAACGGTCGGTCCACGGCTGCAGTCGCAACGACGGACAAACCGACTCCGGTGGGTCCGGTCTCCGGGTCCTCGCCGTCCGTGAACAGCTGCTGAGTACCGGGTTTGTGTATTTCTTCCTCTGCGAGGCCTAGCCGTCTCCTCACCGGGACGACTGACCGTGAGACCCACCGAGGTTCGTCCAGTCGGAAGCAAGATGTCGGCGGCAGAACCAGCCGCGTCCAATTCAGAGCACCGCCCTTCTGCCGCTGGCTGCGTCCATGACTGTGGCCGCGTCCCATTCACAGCACCGCCGTCCTCGCGCCTCGTTCTCATGCGCATGGAAGCCTAAAGGGGCCAGAAACAGACCAGTTTGCAAAGCTCAGAAACCTTAAAAAATAGCCGCCCCATTGGATGCTGGTATGCATAAAATGCAACCACCAACTTGAATTTCATAGCCACCATTCCAGAGTCTTATTCCACCCACACTTCCTGTTTGAAAAATGTGTCAAATTGAAAGGATTGCCTGTTGGATTGCAGCAGTGACTTCCATCCATCCATCCATCCATTTTCAGCCGCTTATCTGGAGTCGGGTCGCGGGAGCAGCAGCCTAAGCAGAGGCCCAGACTTCCCTCTCCCCAGCCAATTGGGCCATCTCCTCCAGGGGCAAGGACGTAATTTTCACTTAAGAAGTGGGGGGGACACGGGGGGGGGGGGGGGGGGGATGGGTATCTTTGCAGTATGCTCTAATGGGAAACAGGCTTCAACACAAACTGTTGTTTTCCGCTTGGTCCTAGAGCTCAACCAGTGTCAATTTAATATAGCGTAATATTGTTTTTGGATGGTAAAAAGTGCAGGGGTCAAAACTTGACTTTGGAAAAAGTGGGGGGGACATGTCCCCCCCCAAAATTACGTCCATGTCCGGGGGAATCCCAAGCCGTTCCTGGCCAGCCGAGAGACATAGTCCCTCCAGCGTGTCCTGGGTTTAACTTTAGATCTCTTCCCGGTTCGACTTGCTCAGAAAATCTCACCAGGGAGGCATCCAGGAGGCATCCTGACCAGATGTCTGATCCACCTCAACTGGCTCCTTTCGATGTGGAGTAGCGGGTCTACTCCGAGCCCCTCCCGGATGAATGAGCTTCTCACCCTATCTCCAAGGGGGAGCCCAGGCATCCTGTGGAGAAAACTCATTTCAGCTGCTACCCAAAGGTGAGGGTAAGAACGTAGATCGACCGGTAAATCTAGAGCTTTGCCTTCTGGCTCCGCTCTTTCCTCACCACAGCAGATCGGCACAGCGCCCGCGTCACAGCAGATGCAGCACCAATCCACCTGTCGCTTGCGCTCCATCTTTGCAGCAAAAAAAAAAAAAAAGTGAAAAGTGGTTTAGTGCGATGGACTGGAAACTTGTCCAGGGTGTACATCACCTTTTGTCCGGAGACTGCAGGAGATAGCCACCAGCAGTCTCCGGCTGCTGAAGATAGGCTGCCTTTTGTTTGGAAATAAGAAAACCAATATATATTAAAAAAAAAAAAAAAGATAACTTCCTGATTACCATCTGAAATCAGGAAACAATCAATTTTCTTTTTTTTTTGTCTTATTTCCTAACAAAAATTCTTGGCCAGCAAGCACAAGGACCCTCATACTGGTATACATAGTTCTCACCCGTCTGCTGAACGTTCATTTATCCATGTTTAGCTGGAATATTGCTTAAAAAAACACCTGATTGGTTCAGGTGAGTGGGCGGGGCTTCCAGCCCCAATCCTAACCATGCAGCAGTGTATTTAAGAGTAACATTTACTTCAGTTTTGAAAAGATTTTGTTAGTTTGAACCCTCATGGCTTTCCAAAGTTCTGATCTGCGTTACGTCACTGGAGCAGCAGCTGATGCTTCAGCTCACAACAGAAGAAAAGAGGTCAAAGTCAACCAATTAGATGTTTATTGAGATGTTAGCGAGTCTCTATGGACAGAGAGGACACATCACTGATCTAACCTAGAAACGCTGCAGCCTGAAGCCTGGCTGCTTCCTGCTTCCTGGTTTGTGTTTACAGAAAGACTCTGGAAGTAGACCGGTCCTCCTTCAGTCCCCAGGTTGTTGGTCCAGTTTCCAGTCAACTCGGCTAAACGTGGCTAAATCCCAGCAGCAGGCACACGGGCTGTAGGAGACGGCTCCTGGATTACGGATCGGTTCAGACCAAGTCCAGGTCTTTGTGGGGTTTAGGCCTTCTTCACAGTGATCAGAAACATTAATGAATTCAGAAACATGGTATAGTTTCAGCTGCAGGTAGAAGTACAGAACCACCACCTAACAGGATGTGACATCATTATTACAGGTTCACATGACATCCACAAAGAGGTCACTGGGGTGTCCCATGGCCAGGTGGAAAGACTGCTGGGGGATCTGTGGTGGAACGGAGGAGCTCTGACCTCCAAGAGGAGGCAGAACGTGTGTGTCACCATAAAGACGAGAATGAGAGGATGGAAGACGAGGGGGAGCACCGTCACTCAGGGAGTCAGTCGCCTGACACGAAGAGCTCTCCTCCTCTTTTATAGTCTCAAATTCTAGCTGTCCTCCCCCTCCATCTTTTCCTCCTCCTCCTCCTCCATCTTCTCGCTCCTTCTGGTCATCACTGAATTCTGATTGGCTGCTGTGAACACCTGAAGATCAGCGAAGGTTTAATGTACTCGTTTAGTAAAGTATAACTTTGATTTGTACATGGAGAAGGAAATCGTTTACCTTCACTGTGGTGGTTCCCTTCCCCACCTAAGGCAGGCAGCTGGTGGAGGGGGTAAGGGGAGCTGTAGGGGTGAAGTATGGGGTATTGGTAGGGGAAGGCCGAAGGGTTGCAGTCCGATCCTCCTCTTTGACTTGGTCCCTCTCCGTCGTCTAATAGAGACATGGAGCCCAAGTCTAAGGAGAAGAACAGGATCAGAAATCCCACAAAGACAGGATCATCCTGGACCTAAATCTCTGGATCAGAGTTACCGAACCCTGAAAGATGGTTTTTACTTTTTAAAAACAACCAGGTGCACATCTGAAGATGTAAGACAAGCTGTTTGTCTCCGCCTAGTGGCCCGAGCTGGGACTGCAGCTTTGAGATGAGGGGACACCTATCTAAATCTGGAGTAAAGTGATAAGGTTCCTCTCTGATCCACCTTTAGATCCACGTTTGAGTTGCTTCTGTGTGCAGTTTTAGTAAACAATAACAAACAGTGCTGCCCCTGGAGGTCAGGAGGTGAACTGTAGTTTTAAACCTGATACCAAATCTATCTAATGGTCACTCCAGCCCTACTTCTGGGTTACCTGTGGGCTGGGGTTCCTGTCCTCACCTGCGCACAGGTCTCCAAACACGTAGTAGCACTGCTCAGAGAACGTGACCTTGTTGATGGTATGTCTGATGAAGCCAGCCTTCAGCAGGTTGCCGGCATATTTGCGAGCTTCGCGGCGGTCGGGGAAACCTTCCACGTTACGGTGGAGCCAGTCCACCACATCAGAACCTGGACAGAAGAGCTGTGGTTAGAGGCTGGTCTCCGAGAAACTTAAAGAGCAAGTCACCCCCTACCAGAGTCTAACTCCGCTCCCATTTCCTGTTTGATAAATGTGCCACAAGGAGGCGTTGCCTGGCAGACCGAGAGGGCGGAGCCACTAACAAATACACACACAGGCTCACAGCAGGATTGTGACATCATATGGTACCAGCTAACGTCATAGGGTACCTCTTAGCCAATAGCAATGGCAGATTTAAATTTGAATGTAGTGCAGGGTTTTAACCTGAAGAGGGCGCAACACTAACAGTTTGACAGAACATTAAAATTTTATCTAAGATGCACTAAAGTGCCAAATTGTTGACGACATGTGTCCACAGCACGATTAGACAGTCATTTATAGTTTATCAGCATAAAAAAGTTTGTTTGGGGGGTGACTTGCTCTGTAAGCTCTGTCTGAATCACTTTTACATTAGTAGGAATAACAAGCAATCTGATTGGCTGAGGTCAGAGGAAGGTTTTAGGAGATTCCCAGATCCGGTCAGGGTCCAGACTCAGGTGGTCTTACCAATAAAAGCGTTGGGAATAGTGATCTTCAACCACATCCTGTCTCGAACCTCCAGGCCTGACTCTGGGTTGGCCATCGCCTTGACGATCACTGTCATGTCGCTGTGGACATTCAGGTGCTGGTCTTCGTGGACACCTGAGGAAGACAAAGCTGAGTGGATGTGTGATGTACAGGGGACAGAAGAGATGGGCTGCGACGACATACTGTAATGTGGGAGGAGCCTCCCAGTCATGGCGGCGGTGTGAGATACCCATGCAGCGGGGTCAATAGGTCGGACAGGCTCACCTGTGGGGTGAGTGGACATCCTATTAGTGTGAACACAAAAACAAGGACATGATGTCTCACCCTAAACCTGACTGCTCACTTCTGGGCAGCGTGAAGCAGCCTCGTGGGTTCGGATCCCAACACTTTGCTACGGTCAGCGTCACCGGCCTGAAAGACGGGAAATACACCGCTCAGCTTTAACATCTTAATCAATCAATCAATCAATCAATCAATCAATCAATCAATCAATCAATCAATCAACTTTATTTATATTGCACTTAATCCTACAATGCATGCAACTCAAAGTGCTTAACAAATTAAAAAGGCCCCACATTCCCTCCCATCCCCAGAATTTTTAAAACAGTCTGACAATAAAAAACCCTTCACAACACTCATCCTCTGGCACACATGCACACATACATACATGCCCCCCTCCCCCCATGGAAAAACAATTGACTGAGATCAGATGAGCCAGACCAGCTAAGATAAGGATAAGGAAACGCCATCAGGGGAGCCATCCGCCCCGACAGCAGCAGATCCACAGCAGCAGCTGAGGCACCGACACAGGGCACCCAGGGCAGGGAGGGCGGAGACCCCCACCTCCACCCGGGCACACCTGGAAAGCACCCAGGCCGCCACAGCCGACCACCTCCCCTGGGGCAGAGGGCCCCCACAGAGGAAACACTGGAAAAAGGTTAAAATATAAAATCAAAAGAGCTAAAATGAGAATTGTAACATAAAAAGTTATATAGATATTAAAATAATGTTGATCGTAAATCTACAGTAAAAAACTGTTTAAAAAGCACGTATAAAGAAAGAATACATACAATTAATGAATAAAATAAATAGATAAACAAATAAACTAATTAATTAATTTAATGTTAAAAGAGATAGTAGTCAGTTAAAAGCTAAGCTAAAAAGATGGGTCTTGAGCCTGTTTCCAAAAACATGAACGTTCTCTACCGGCTTCAGCTCCACCCAGGACCGGCTTCATCCCTCAGGCCTGTAAGTTCAGAAGCACCCCACAAGACAAAGAGAATAAACGTGTCTCACCCTGGCTGGTGGACAACGTCTCTCAGAACTCGGACCGCATCATCATTGCTCATGTTCTCAAAGTTGATATCATTCACCTGCAAACAAGAACCACCCTTAGAACCTGTACCGCAATTTCTGGTACTCTCTGTTACATTCTGGTTTTGGTCTCTGGAAGCAAACGTGCCTGCAGAAGCATGTCTCCTGGCTCGATGCGTCCATCGGCTGCAACGGCGCCCCCTCTCACGATAGAACCGATGTAGATACCTCCATCCCCGCGATCGTTGCTCTGACCCACGATGCTGATGCCCAGGAAGTTGTACCGCTCTGAGAAGGTCAGAGGGTAAACATAATACACATTTCAGCTGCTCTGACCAGAGAACCAAAACTAGGATCTAGATGGTCTCATCTGGCCAGGGACCACTCAGGCTGCAGTCCAGCAGAACCTCAGAGACGGGGTAAGGTTCTACTGGACCAGCCTCATTTATCAAGCTTGCTTATGCACAAAACGGGGTCGGAAAACTGCGTAAATGGTAAATGGCCTGTATTTGATATAGCGCCTTCTAGAGTCCTGGAACCCCACAAGGTGCTTTACAACACAACCAGTCATTCACCCATTCACACACTGGTGGGGATGAACTATGATGTAGCCACAGCTGCCCTGGGGCGCACTGACAGAGGCGAGGCTGCCGAGCACAGGCGCCACCGGTCCCTCCGACCACCACCAGCAGGCAAGCTGGGTTAAGTGTCTTGCCCAAGGACACAACGACAGCGACAGACTGAGCGGGGCTCGAACCTGCAACCTTCCGATTACGGGGCGAGTGCTTAACTCCTGTGCCACCGTCGCCCTTGTCCTTATGAAAGAAAACAGTGGAAAAATGTGGCAACTTTAAGTTGCCTAAGGACCTGGCTTACACACACGTTGGACATGGAGAGCACCTGCAGTGCTGCTGCTGAGAAGATAAAATTATGAAATCCTGCAGCATTATCACTTGTACCGCTTCGTTTTCACACAGAACAAGAACCCACACACGCACACACATACATGCGCACACACACACATGCGTGCACACTCTCACACACACACACGCACGCAGCCTGAAGCGCAGAATATCAGCAGGGGGACAGATTGAAACAGAACGTCATGCGTCTGTGACAGTGTGCATCCTGTCACTGTGACTTGATTAATAATGCACTCTGGCAACTCGGACAGGGGAGATCTCCGTTTGGGTGACTGGTTAGCGCGCGTGACCTTCACCCGGGAGTCTGGGGATCAAATCCCGATTGGACCATTTTTTTATATCTGCCACAGATCTCTCTGAAGAATTCACAACATTGACGGCTTCAGCAACGCTGCGCCACTCCGTGGATTTTCTCTTATTTTTTTTGCAAAAGTACTTCCTTTCATTTCTCCACCTCACCCACAGGTACCTCAACTTCTGCTTCTGTGAAATAGCGCTTCCTTGATCTGCCTTGATCTACGGGCGCCATGTCATTGGCGGAGCGCTGCAACGGCCGGCTTATGTACATGCATGAGATCCACAAGGCACTTTGCATTGACTATTTATGGCAGTAAGGGCTGCATGGTGGCGCAGTGGTTAGCACTGTTGCCTCGCAGCACGAAGGTTGCAGGTTTCGAAACTCGGCTGCGGCCTTTCTGCGTGGTTGCGTGTTCTCCCCATGCATGCGTGATTCCTCCGGGTACTCTGGTTTCCCCCACAGATCACAACATGCCCTTTAGGTTATAAATTGTACGTCGCTTTGGATAAAAGCGTCTGCTACGTAAATAAACATAAACAAGTGGGCGTGGTGAGGGCGGGATGTGACTGAAATGCAGCTGAAAAACATTCTCGCTAGTCTCCGATTTATGAAGCGGAGGTTGCGTGCAGCTGTGCGTACTCCATGTTTGATAGATCACAAACCTACTTAGCGTAAGTACACTGTTTTTGCTGAGCTTAAGTACGTTTTAGTAAGGACTCTACCAGTGTTAGATAAATGAGACCCCTGGACATCTACAGGCCTTGTAACTGAGAGGACCAGTGTGATACCTGGTCCAGGTGTGACCTGGCCCGTACTCACCCATGTTGAGGGTAACGGTGACGATGTTGAGAGACATGGTGGAGTCGGTGACACTGCTGAAGGAGACGGACTGATGGACAGGAAAGGACACATCAGTGTGGCACATCAGTGTGTGTGTGTGTGTGTGTGTGTGTGTGTGTGTGTGTGTGTGTGTGTGTGTGTGTGTGTGTTTGTATACCCTCTCCATCCGAGATTCTTTGGGTTTCCGGTGGCGCCGCCGTTGTCTCCTGATGAGTCGTGGCGACAAGCTGCTCAGCTTTGTGGATTGGCTGAACCTGGTGTGACATCACACAAGAAATAAATCAAATATTCTTGATCAAAGGCGTAAAAAAAGTTTCAGCTTGCTTTCAAAAACAACTTAAAACACTAAAGGAACAGATTAATGCCAATCCAGAGATGTCAAAAGTCAACCTTCACAAACAAACCTGTTAAAAATCCAATCAATGAAAAAAAGCTGTTTATTGTTTATAAACAGCGTTGAAAAGAGAGCGAGGAAGGAACAGATGCTCTCTGCTCCCAGATCAGAGGGAAGTTTTTATCTGCAGCACAAAAAAACCTCGCCAGTCACATGACCCACAGCAGCCAATCACAGCAGGGCTGCAACAGAAGCTGAACGGGTTTACTGGAGCAGAAGAAGAAGGCCTGCAGGCAGGTAACTGTGTGTCATTCACATCAGACCAATCACAGTGACACATTCTGCTGATGTCACAGTCTGACAGTCGGGGGGCTTACAGGTAACCGGGACAGTCCCAGTGGTACCGTTTGTGTGCTGGTACCAGAACCCCTCAGTGCTGAAGAAACCCACCTTCCCCCTGAGTCTTCCTCAGATGAGCAGAAGCTGGTGGTCTCCAACTCGCTGCTCTGCTGGGTGGAGGAGCTGTCCCCGCCACCTACTGGCCCCACCACCTCATCAGACGTTTGGTGGACATGTCCATTCAGATGTCCACCTGCAGAGGCAGCAGCCACGCCTCCTTGCAGTTTTTCCGATGCTGAAACGACTGAAGGGTGCGAGTCGTCACGACTCACAGCTGCTGCACTGAGACACAAATGACATCACTTCCTGTCAGCAGCAGAACAAATTACTACAGTAGTACTATACAGAGTACAGCAGGAGTGTCCTAAGGTACTAACTGAAACGATGGAGGTCGGGAGTCTCCGATCCCACCTGTCCTTTCAATGGGGGGTGGGGCCACACTAGAGGGCGTGGCCACAGACTGGATGTCCGACCCCTTGAAATCTGATGTGCAGGTGTCCGATGACACCACCTGGAGAGAAAAGACAAAATTTATGTCTAGATCACCGGGCCAGAGAGAGAGAGAGAGATTTATCTCTGAATGGTGTGTGTGTGTGTGTGTGTGTGTGTGTGTGTGTGTGTGTGTGTGTGTGTGTGTGTGAATAGCTGAAGTTGAGTCTGGTGTGTTTGAGGTTCTGACCCAGCAGATGACTCGTCCGTTAACACACGGCAGGAGGGTGTCATCGTCACTGATCTCCTCTTTAACCACCCTAGAACAGATCACCATCATCAGCTCCGTCATCATCATCATCATCTCCATTAACAACCACAATCATCATCATCATCTCCATCACTACCATCATCATCATCATCATCATCATCTCCATTCACAACCATCATCATCATCATCATCATCTCCATTCACAACCACAATCATCATCATCATCATCTCCATCACTACCATCATCATCATCATCATCATCATCATCATCTCCATTAACAACCACAATCATCATCATCATCTCCATCATCTCCATTAACAACCACAATCATCATCATCATCTCCATCACTACCATCATCATCATCATCATCATCATCATCTCCATTCACAACCATCATCATCATCATCATCATCATCATCATCTCCATTCACAACCATCATCATCATCATCATCTCCATTCACAACCACAATCATCATCATCATCATCTCCATCACAACCATCATCATCATCATCATCATCTCCATTCACAACCACAATCATCATCATCATCATCTCCATCACAACCATCATCATCATCATCATCATCTCCATTCACAACCACAATCATCATCATCATCATCTCCATCACTACCATCATCATCATCATCATCATCATCTCCATTCACAACCACAATCATCATCATCATCATCATCTCCATCACAACCAACATCATCATCATCATCATCTCCATCACTACCATCATCATCATCATCATCATCATCTCCATTCACAACCACAATCATCATCATCATCATCTCCATCACTACCATCATCATCATCATCATCATCTCCATTCACAACCACAATCATCATCATCATCTCCATCACTACCATCATCATCATCATCATCATCATCTCCATTCACAACCATCATCATCATCACCATCATCTCCATTCACAACCACAATCATCATCATCATCTCCATCACTACCATCATCATCATCATCATCATCATCTCCATTCACAACCACAATCATCATCATCATCTCCATCACTACCATCATCATCATCATCTCCATCACTACCATCATCATCATCATCTCCATCATCATCATCATCACTACCATCATCATCATCACAACCTCCATTATCACCACCATCAGTTGGGATTCTGATCACTGAGCGGTACTTTCGATCATGCGACTCACCCGAAGTCGTCGTCCACCGACTTAAAGAAAAATTTGACGTTCGGTTTGCTCAGGGCCTGTTTGAAGTCCGCCAGGGTCACGCGCGTCGTGGGCACGCCGATCCGGATCAGGTAGGGGGTTTCCTGGTCTTCCAGGTGGTAGATGACCCGGGTCTCCTCCGCCATCCCGGACAAGTGGAGCCCTGCGTGGCCCCGGAGAGGGATGCTGAGAGGTAGATGCACCTGCCGCACCTGTTCGTGTCCAGCTCTTTGTTGACGTGACGGTCTTACCTGTCTCCTTCACTTGTTCTTTGAACTCTCCCCGAGACTGCAGCTGGTTCCCACCAGTTTCTGGTCCAGACGTGTTGATACAGCTGCTGCAGGTCTACTCAGTCTCCTTCTATCTACGTCACCGCGTACGGAATATGGTACGCATCTTCCGTTTACATCCTTCAAAACAAGAGACCGCGAGGTGACGAGATGCAGGTGAACCGAATAGAAAAGGCTCAGATAAACGTGTTTTTGTAACATGAGAACTCCAGTAGAAACCCAGAAGAACCAGATATTTGAATTTCCAGTAAGAGGGTTGCGATTTGACTGGGATCTTGAATCCGATCTGCCTGGAGATTAGAACATTACTCTTTTTCAGGTTCATGCTGCCGTTACCAGAGAAGATTATCCCGTTTCCTCCAGACCCAGTTAGACACGGATCGACATGTTTCTCCTGGAACCCGACAGGAACCGGACTAACCAGGAGGCCAGAGTGCAGACCCAAAAACCTTCAGGTGTGGAGACCTGCTCGAAAGGATAAACCTGGTGCTGGATTGCTTATTTGCCCAGCTGTTGAATAAAAGTGGGAAATAAAACTTAAGTTTTATACAAACAAAACAGGAAGTGAAGACTGCGGTTCTCTATCCCCGACTAATGCTTTTATTTTGAAAGGAATGCTCGCGACTTCCTGTAATCTTCTTGACAAATTAACAAGAAACAATATCGATCCAACATTTCCGGTTCGACAAGTAAAACAAAACATTATAAAAAATAACTTTATTGACATTAAATATTTTATTAAAATATAGAAAAAAGTTAAAAATGATTTGTTGCTTGACTTGTTAGAGAAAAACAGAATAAATAAGTTTGTTTACAAACAACGATGAAGGAGATTCCTGCCCTTTTACTGAACAAGAGTCTTTAACCAAGACTTGTTCGGTTTATTTGAACAGATTTTATTGCAGCATTTCCATGTTGGTTTGGTTTCCTGTTTGGTGAGGCGTTCAATGTCACCAAAAAACACCAACGCTCCGAAGTCGGGTTCCGCTGCCCCAACCAAACTCTTCAGGGTTTCTGAGGAAACTTTCAGCTGGACAAAGCGAGTGAGTCAGGAGAACCCGTCTGAGGTCCTCTAAAGGCCACGAGGTGGGGGATGCTGGTGCTGGGATCTTCTGAAGGTCCTCATGGAACCGGTCTGGACCACTTCAGGAGTGGTTTAGGGGGTCCAGTGTGGCGTTACAGGCAGGGAGCATAAAGGCAGTTCTCACCTGTCGCCAGGTGTTTGTGTTCAGCCAACAGGCAGACAGGATCACCGGGATCCGCTCGGGATCACAGACACCTTCAGGATAAACTCTGAAGGGGTTTCCAGTTAAAAACTAAAAGCTAAAAAGAATTTCTATCCTCTTGGTTCTGATCGATCAAGTCCACGGCGGAGTGGGTCAGAACCCCTCCCTGCTGCCATCAAATTAACAAAACCCACAGCTGTGGTTCTGATCCATTTTTGTTCAGGATGATGACGACACCATCTGACCTTTGACCCTCCCACAGCTGATCGCAGGAGTCGCGATGACTCAGACTGGTTCTGCAACGAGTTCTGGTTCTGAACCTTCTGGTCTTCACGCAGAAACATTGACGTCCCTCAGTGAAACAGTGGCGGTCGTCCCAGCGGCAGAGGCGGTTGCCGTGGCAGCAGGTGTCGGCGAGCTGGAGGGTAAGGGGTGGGCCACTGTGGGCGGGACCGGGCTATTCTGATTGGCTGTGACTGAACTGCTCGGGAACAGGATCTGCTGTAAGGTCCGTCGGAGGTTTGGGTGAAGGCGCTGCTGCGTCTGATAGAAGATCTCCACGGCAATGCACTTCATCACCCCGGCAACCAGATCCTCATACAGAGGCACGGTGTACATCCTGGAGGTCTGCAGAGAGGAGAGGGTCAGTGATGTTCAGACTGAGGATCCAGCTCTGTCTGCTCACCAGGGGTTCTCACGTGTTTGTGCAGGAAGGTTCTGATCCGCGGCAGGTCCGGGTAGAACGTGTTCCTCACCACCAGCTGCAGCCAGCGGATCTGAACCTCAGCATTCAGACCATCAAACAGGGAGGAGTAGGAACCGGAGAGACTCCCCATCACCTCTGAGACACAGACACACCATCACGGATCAGAACACTACAGAGGAAACGGGTCGGCAGCAGCAGAACCGGTCCAGTTGGAGGTGTAGTGAAGCATACCATGAGAAAGCGGTGAATGGTCCAACATACGGTCCAGGAACAGAACCACCTGGAAGGTGCTCCAGGTTGACAGGTCAAAGGGAGTGACTGCCTGCCGGTCAGGGGGGGCGGAGCTTCCCCACAGCTTGCACAGATCCTGAACCGGGCCGATCAGAGTGGCACCGGCTGAAAGGTCCGGCTCGAATGGAGGGGGCCCGCAGCCGCTCAGCCAGCGCTCAAACTCCAAACCTGGGACAGGAAGTGATGTCATCAAGCAGGTGGAGCTACTGGTACAGGATGTTGGTGTTTCATTCAGAATTACCTTCTCTCTGAGTGACGGCGGCGTCCTGAAGCTCCGGGAAGTAACGCAGGAAGTAATCGATGAGGTCCTGAGCAACCACGCTCTTAAACTTAAACTCCAAGATGTAGTCCTGCTCACACACACACACACACACACACACACACACACACACACACACACACACACACACCTCCATTAGTCTCCAGATCACTGTGTGTGTGTGTGTGTGTGTGTGTGTGTGTGTGCGTGCGTGCGTGCGTGCGTGCGTGCGTGTGTGTGTGTGCGTGTGCGTGTGCGTGTGTGTGTGTGTGTGTGTGTGTGTGTGTGTACAGACCCTGAGGAAGTGATCAAAGTGCCTGCAGTCTCCACTGAGTTCTGACAGGTACGACACAAAGCAGAAGCCTTTCTCGTAGGTGAACAGATTCATCAGAGTACTGGGGTTCACACCTGTAGAGGGGAGGCAGAGCGTGAGATACTTCTGTACAGATGTAGACCAATGTGTGTGTGTGTGTGGGGGGGGGGGGGGGGGGGAGCATACCTGGATCAAACTTAACCTGCAGTTTGCTCACAGGGCTGTTGTCTCCGAGGACACGTAGCTGTCGGTGGAGAGCATCCAGTCGCACCACAGTTTCTAAACAGGTGAAGGCCTCACCTGAAGGTAAAATACAGAAGACAGGTAGTTCGTGAGCTTCCTCGACCTCGGATAAAGACTACGATAAGACAGACTGGATCAGGTTTAAACCGGACTGGATTAAAGGTTAGCCCGGCCTGCCAGACATGACCTCCGTTTCATTTTACACAGAGAGCCAATGCTTCCCATGAGGAAGCACGGGAATGGCTGGCCAGGCTAACCAGGGGTTAAACCAGACTGGATTGGGATTCGGGGGCCACAAAGAGGGGGCCCGCCTATTGAGGACCACTGTTGCAGGTTATAACGGTTGGATTTCTGTGCTTCACATATTCATCTTTGGTTGTGGAAATCGATGAAGACTACAACCCCAACATACACAAACATTAACCTGATTCTTGTGTCCTCAGGTGGACTCTACATGTCCACCTGAGGACACAAGAACTCTACATGTCCACCTGAGGACACAAGGACTCTACATGTCCACCTGAGGACACAAGGACTCTACATGTCCACCTGAGGACACAAGAACTCTACATGTCCACCTGAGGACACAAGAACTCTACATGTCCACCTGAGGACACAAGAACTCTACATGTCCACCTGAGGACACAAGAACTCTACATGTCCACCTGAGGACACAAGAACTCTACATGTCCACCTGAGGACACATGGGCTGCATGGTGGCGCAGTTGTTAGCACTGTTGCCTCGCAGCACGAGGGTTGCAGGTTCGAAACTCTTCTGAGTGGAGTTGCGTGTTCTCCTCATGCATGCGCGGTTCCTCCGGGTACTCCGGTTTCCCCCACAGATCACAACAAGCCCTATAGGTTATAAACTGTAAGTCGCTTTGGATAAAAGCGTCTGTCAAATAAATAAACATAAACACAAACATTAACCATCGTTAAACCAGTTGAATCTGTGTTCCCTCAGTAACTAAGAATAACCGGAGTCAAGCACGTTTCCCTTGCGGTAGGAATGTGTCACGTGACTCCAAAACCGCGCGTTGTTTAGGGAAGCCTGCCCACTTCCTTTGATTTAGTATTGTTTAACCCCTGCTAGTTGTGTGAAAACCTGGAAGCATAACCAAAGTAACGTTTTGACCTCAGATGACGTTTTTCTACAACTTTAAAGACATTTAAAGATGCTCTTTAAACCGGACTGGATCAGGTGTGAGGCAGTCGGAGGCCGGATCCTGATCACCAGTCTGGACCATCACCGGGACTCGGCTCACCGTAGGCCTCGGTGGTGATCCTCCTCTGAGCGTAGGTGGCCAGGCCTTCGCTCAGCCACATCTCCTCCCAGGTGGCGTTGGTCACGGCGTTCCCGAACCAGCCGTGAGCGATCTCGTGGATCACGTCGATGAGCAAGAACTCACTGCTTTCCATGATGGAGGCAATGATGAAGGTGAGGCAAGGATTCTCCATGGCAACAATAGGGAAGCAGGGGGGGAGGAAGACGATGTCACACCTGAGAATCAGCTCCGTCAGGCTGCTGCTCATCACTGAATAAAGGCTCGCTGCAGAAAGACCTCACCTGCCCCACAGGTAAGGTCCAAACAGGTCCTCGGCCACATCCAGCCAGTGCTCCACGCTGCCACCCAGCTTCTTCACAGCGCACGACAGCAGACATGGCTCCGCCCACACCCGGCTCCTGAAAGCAAGACCAGACAGATTGGCCCTCGAAGGGTTTTAAAAACTCGTGTTTTCATTCTTTCAGATTTCTGGAGATTTGAGTTTTTTTAATCACGTTTAGCAGCTTCGTTCAGAATCAGTGAGACAAGCTTCTGTTGTCCGTGATGTCACTGATGACACCATCACAGGTGCACTCAGGTGAGCCCCGCCTACCGGTGTTCTGGTGTAGACGGTACAACTGGACCAAGACCGATACCCACCTTGGGCCCAGGTCCGCGTGCTCCAGCTGCCCGGCCACCAGCGCCACCAAGTAGGAAGGGACCGGGAACTCCATGGAGAAATGGAAGATCCGGTCCTGTTTGGAGTAGGAACTCTGAGACGCACTCATGAGAACCGTCATGCCCTCTGGGACCTGGTGGAGGTGGCGAGACAAAAAACCTTTAAAGAAAAATGATCCTTTCTCTTCAAAACGATTTAGGACCTTAAACTTTGGTTTTAATGATTTCTGGTGTTTTTGGTTGATCTGGAGTTTGTTTCCTGCGGATTTCGTAGAAACCGAACCTGAAGGGGACCTACAGGACCCTTAGCTCTGGTCCAAGTCTAATCTGATACTGCTGGTCTGACGCGACATTGTCCCGAGTTTTCAGGTCCACAGGGGACGTCACGACTCACCCGGACGGCTGCCGTGTACGTGCTCTTCACGGCAGGCGTGTCGAAGCATGGGAAGAAGGAGCGGTTACACACCGAGTGTCCCTGAGTGAAGACGAGAGGACAAGACTGTCCACAAGTCAGTTCTGAGTCCAACCACCAGATCTGAAAACAGAGAACATGTCAGAGGTCACTTGATCGACTCGTTACCAACAAGAGTCTGAGACTAAGACGCAGGTTCATATGTCCACCTGAGGACACATGGACTCTACATGTCCACCTGAGGACACAAGGACTCTACATGTCCACCTGAGGACACAAGGACTCTACATGTCCACCTGAGGACACAAGGACTCTACATGTCCACCTGAGGACACAAGGACTCTACATGTCCACCTGAGGACACATGGACTCTACATGTCCACCTGAGAAAACATGGACTCTACATGTCCACCTGAGGACACAAGGACTCTACATGTCCACCTGAGGACACAAGGACTCTACATGTCTGACACATGTCCACCTGAGGACACAAGGACTCTACATGTCCGACACATGTCCACCTGAGGACACAAGGACTCTACATGTCCACCTGATGACACATGGACTCTACATGTCCACCTGATGACACATGGACTCTACATGTCCACCTGATGACACATGGACTCTACATGTCCACGTGAGGACACATGGACTCTACATGTCCGACACAAGGACTCTACATGTTCACCTGAGGACACAAGGACTCTACATGTCCGACACATGTCCACCTGAGGACACAAGGACTCTACATGTCCGATACATGTCCACCTGAGGACACAAGGACTCTACATGTCCACCTGATGACACATGGACTCTACATGTCCACCTGAGGACACAAGGACTCTACATGTTCACCTGAGGACACAAGGACTCTACATGTCCACCTGAGGACACAAGGACTCTACATGTCCACCTGATGACACATGGACTCTACATGTTCACCTGAGGACACAAGGACTCTACATGTCCACCTGAGGACACAAGGACTCTACATGTCCACCTGATGACACATGGACTCTACATGTCCACCTGAGGACACAAGGACTCTACATGTTCACCTGAGGACACAAGGACTCTACATGTCCACCTGAGAACACATGGACTCTACATGTCCACCTGAGGACACATGGACTCTACATGTCCACCTGAGGACACAAGAACTCTACATGTCCATCTGAGAACACATGGACTCTACATGTTCACCTGAGGACACAAGGACTCTACATGTCCACCTGAGGACACATGGACTCTACATGTCCACCTGAGAACACAAGAACTCTACATGTCCATCTGAGAACACATGGACTCTACATGCTCACCTGAGAACACATGGACTCTACATGTCCATCTGGGGACACAAGGACTCTACATGCCCGACACATGTCCACCTGAGGACACATGGACTCTACATGTCCACCTGAGGACACAAGGACTCTACATGTCCACCTGAGGACACAAGGACTCTACATGTTCACCTGAGGACACAAGGGCTCTACATGTCCACCTGAGGACACATGGACTCTACATGTCCAACACAAGGACTCTACATGTTCACCTGAGGACACAAGGACTCTACATGTCCACCTGAGGACACAAGGGCTCTACATGTCCACCTGAGGACACATGGACTCTACATGTCCACCTGAGGACACAAGGGCTCTACATGTCCACCTGAGGACACATGGACTCTACATGTACGACACAAGGACTCTACATGTCCACCTGAGGACACAAGGGCTCTACATGTCCACCTGAGGACACAAGGGCTCTACATGTCCACCTGAGGACACATGGACTCTACATGTCCGACACAAGGACTCTACATGTTCACCTGAGGACACAAGGACTCTACATGTCCACTTGAGGACACAAGGGCTCTACATGTCCACCTGAGGACACATGAACTCTACATGTCCGACACAAGGACTCTACATGTTCACCTGAGGACACAAGGACTCTACATGTCCACCTGAGGACACAAGGGCTCTACATGTCCACCTGAGGACACATGGACTCTACATGTTCACCTGAGGACACAAGGACTCTACATGTCCACCTGAGGACACAAGGGCTCTACATGTCCACCTGAGGACACATGGACTCTACATGTCCACCTGAGGACACAAGGACTCTACATGTCCACCTGAGGACACAAGGACTCTACATGTCCACCTGATGACACATGGACTCTACATGTTCACCTGAGGACACAAGGACTCTACATGTCCACCTGAGGACACAAGGGCTCTACATGTCCAGCTGAGGACACATGGACTCTACATGTCCACCTGAGGACACAAGGACTCTACATGTCCACCTGAGGACACATGGACTCTACATGTCCACCTGAGGACACAAGGACTCTACATGTCCACCTGAGGACACATGGACTCTACATGTCCACCTGAGGACACATGGACTTTACATGTCCACCTGAGGACACAAGGGCTCTACATGTCCACCTGAGGACACAAGGACTCTACATGTCCAACACATGTCCATCTGAGGACACATGGACTCTACATGTCCACCTGAGGACACAAGAACTCTACATGTCCACCTGAGGACACATGGACTCTACATGTCCACCTGAGAAAACATGGACTCTACATGTCCACCTGAGGACACAAGGACTCTACATGTCCACCTGAGGACACAAGGGCTCTACATGTCCACCTGAGGACACATGGACTCTACATGTCCACCTGAGGACACAAGGGCTCTACATGTCCACCTGAGGACACATGGACTCTACATGTACGACACAAGGACTCTACATGTCCACCTGAGGACACAAGGGCTCTACATGTCCACCTGAGGACACAAGGGCTCTACATGTCCACCTGAGGACACATGGACTCTACATGTCCGACACAAGGACTCTACATGTTCACCTGAGGACACAAGGACTCTACATGTCCACTTGAGGACACAAGGGCTCTACATGTCCACCTGAGGACACATGAACTCTACATGTCCGACACAAGGACTCTACATGTTCACCTGAGGACACAAGGACTCTACATGTCCACCTGAGGACACAAGGGCTCTACATGTCCACCTGAGGACACATGGACTCTACATGTTCACCTGAGGACACAAGGACTCTACATGTCCACCTGAGGACACAAGGGCTCTACATGTCCACCTGAGGACACATGGACTCTACATGTCCACCTGAGGACACAAGGACTCTACATGTCCACCTGAGGACACAAGGACTCTACATGTCCACCTGATGACACATGGACTCTACATGTTCACCTGAGGACACAAGGACTCTACATGTCCACCTGAGGACACAAGGGCTCTACATGTCCACCTGAGGACACATGGACTCTACATGTCCACCTGAGGACACAAGGACTCTACATGTCCACCTGAGGACACATGGACTCTACATGTCCACCTGAGGACACAAGGACTCTACATGTCCACCTGAGGACACATGGACTCTACATGTCCACCTGAGGACACATGGACTTTACATGTCCACCTGAGGACACAAGGGCTCTACATGTCCACCTGAGGACACAAGGACTCTACATGTCCAACACATGTCCATCTGAGGACACATGGACTCTACATGTCCACCTGAGGACACAAGAACTCTACATGTCCACCTGAGGACACAAGAACTCTACATGTCCACCTGAGGACACATGGATTCCAAAGGTCCGTCTGATGAGAGGAAGACTTCACGCCTCTATGAGGACATGAGTCCTCCACTTGCTGCTCCAGGACACAAGGACCCACATTTATTTAGGACAAGAAGACTCCATGTCTTTCTGAGGACATAATGACTTCTCGTGTCCTTTAGGAAACAAGACCTCCACATGACAGTCTGAGGTTAAGTGGACTCCACGTGTCTCCTAGAGGACATGAGAACTCCACGTCCTTCAACACACAAGAACTCCTTTAGGAAATGAGGACTTTACATGTCCTTTAGGATGCGGGGACTCCACATTTCTCTGAGGACATGAATAGTCACGTGTCTTTGAGGACACAAGGACTCAACATGACCATCTCAGGTGATGAGGAACTGTTCAGGACTTGATCCTCGGTTTAGTTTTGCGATCTGGATTATTTAACGACCTTGAGGTTCTCTTCGGGTTGTGGTCTACAAAAGCCTGAACCAGATCTGAACTGGACCGATTCAGGACCAGAACTGGCTGCAGTAAATACAGACATAACCTGTGTCCTAACGTGCATGTCTTCTCTCCAAAGTAACTTACAGACGAGGACATAGCAGTGCTGTTACCATGAAGACCAGCCTAAACTAGGAGAAGCTTACCGCCGGGCCGTCCGTGGTGGTGTACCGGATCGTGATCTGGATCCGTCTGCCAGGTTTGACGGTCCCAGAGGGCAGACTGATGCTGAGGGACGAGCCGTAGTCTGTGAACGGATCCACCCGGTATGTGAGGGAGACCGGGGCCTCCTGCCCGTCCTCTGGGACCTTACAGTCTATGGAGTGGATCAAGAGGGACGGGTGAGAGTCCAGAACCAAGGTGCACACTGCCGGCTGGACCGGAACCAAGTCCAGGACCAACCAGCCGCTCATTTCTTTCACTGCAAAATTCAGCTTCAGGTCCAGGTGGAGGTGGCACAGCTGGAAGCACCTGAAGTTGGACACGGAGGCCACGTCCACCAGAGGACCACGTGAGACCCTGGGTCCCGGACTAGCAGAGGGCTGCTTGTCCCCAGCAAAGGGGCCCCCAGACACCGGAAGAGACTTCCGGCAGCAGCACAGAGAGGTGGGGGCCTGGTGGAGCTCGGCCATAATGGATCAGACCCAGGTCAGACCTGGACCAACGGTACCGAACAAACCCGGAGTATGACTTTAAAGTTGTGGACTGAAGAGGGTCATCGCTACCGGGCTGGGTCCAGATCAGACTCCTTCAACCGATTTAAAGGTAGGACGTGTAAGACCCGGACCCAACTAGAACCACGGAAGCGGTTCGGTCCGATTTAACCCAATTTAAACCAACAGAAAACCAGAACCGTAACCAGTTCTACCAAAAACAAACACCTGACATGTTCAGTAAGATCCGAGCTGAACCAGTTTCAGGTGCGGTTCGGATCTGTGAACCAGATCGAACGAAAACACCTGAAGAACACGAACTCAGCAGAACCCAATCCGGATCCTGCCCTGGAAATCAGAACCGAACCAGGTCTAGTGTTAGAGGTCAGATCATCGGCGGTTCCGAGAACTAATTAAACTAGTTCCGCCGGTTAGCAGAACCGGCTAATCGGCGAACGCTTTAATTAGCCTCAAGTCCACATTTAGGTAAAATCCATCAGGACAACAGAACCGGACGGGTCCGTGCCGAACCCGGCTCCTCCTGCAGTATCACGCCGGCCCCCTGCTGCACGTCCGGGTCACGGAGTTTGGTAGCTTCCGGTAGAACCAGAGGTCAGCTGGAGGTCCACGGTGAGTCCGGTGGTACCAAAGCGGATAGAGGACAACGTGTCCCGCGAACAAAGACACGGAGACGCCGCCGGGGAACCACACCGGACAAAACAGGAAGTAACAGCGGCAAGAAAGTTTGGAAAGACCGCGAGGGGGCGCTGTGAGCTGGAAATCAGCTGACTGGTTTAACTGGCTTATTAGTTTAGTCACAGGCTCCGCCCACACCACCGGTCTTGCAAATTCATTAGCTGATTAAGTAAAACAAAAACAAACAAAAAACCCGGTTCTGACCCCACTTCCTGGGTTAGGTCTCACCCTGGAGGGGTCCCAGAAGTGGGCAGCTGTCCACATGTGTGGGTTTCTCTTCCGGACCTAGTCCAGAACCACTGACCCAGTTCTGCTAAACCTCCAGATCCAGTCCACAAGTCTCTTCTAAGCAGACTTCCTGTGGTACTGATCCAGTTCTACTCTGGTTTGGTACTTTGGGGGATTTTTGGCCCGTTTTCACTTCTGGTACCAGGACATTTTCAGATGAAAGCTTCTGAAAAGCTTGAGAACTCAATGGATGAGCCAGCCAGGTGCACTCCAAACAGAAACAGAAAAAGTTCTTATGATCCCTTCGGAACCATCGGGTCTCAGGTTCTGGTTCTTCAGTGGATTTAAATCACCCAGGATTGCAGCTCATTTGTTTCATCAGTTAAAACAAACGACTTCAGATATCAGTCCAAAAGAAATTCTGTTCTTTAAAGATCTTTTAGATCAGAAACTCAGCTGATCAACTATTGACCAGCCGATCCACGAAGGAAAAACACTGAGATCATGATTTTTAATCTGTTTATTGTTTCTGTACAAACATCCAGATGATCCAACCCCATCAGATCCGAGATGGATACAGCATCTGTAAAGAGGAGAAGACTGTATGAATTGGGGATGCACCGATATGAAAACGTTGGGCCAATACAGATATCAATATTGCTGTTATGGCCAATGACCGATATTTGAAGATACTGATTTTTTTTATTCACACACACACACAAACACACTGTCACATGACTAAAAAAAATTACACATACACCCCCCCCACACACACACACACACACACACACACTCAAAACTGCCTAAATGGAAACGAGATGGAAAAACTATTGTTTAACATCGACCCAGTTTTACTCGTCAGACGATACAGATACTGATGCAGCTTGTGCATCCCTGGCCACAATGACACGGGTGAGAAGACGCCATCAGAGTGACGCGTCCAAAAAAACCTCCAGAGGAATTGGGTCAAATACCAGCTGTTTTCTATTGAATTGACCAGATTTGCCCGCTGACGTTATGTTATAGGTGTAGAACCTCTTTGAAGATAAAAGAGAAAGAAAGATGCAGAAACACTAGAAAAAAGAGCCGTTAACGAGCGGTGGTTCAGGAGCCAGTCAGCCTGGTCGTGCTTGGTTTTTTTAAAAGTGTTGCTTGTCTAAATCGTGGACGGGTCATGCTGAAACGCAAGTTTTGTTGTACCAGTATACCGGCTCAATGACAAAATGTCCCCAAACGTCTGACCAGGTAATTCTTCAGTTGCTTTTTTTTAAAGGAGACCATTAAGTCCACTGATCTCAGGCTCAGGGAGAGGTTCTAGAGTCTGGAGGTCACAGCAGCAAATGATCTGTCACCTTGTCTTAGAACTATTCTAATGGGTCAGGCCCAACTGATCCAAACAGGAAGTAAAAACAATTAAAACAATTAGTACCAGTTTTACACACACACACACACACACACACACACACACACACACACACACACACACACACACACACACACACACACACACACACACACACACACACACACACAGAGAGAGAGAACTTTGACCCCATCGTCAGTAAAGGGTCTAATGACGATCAGCCAACCGTGTTGCTGCTAAAGACTGAGGTGGACCTGGTCTGAGACGAGGAGACGGGTCTGGGGGACGCAGCAGGTAGTAGAAGAACTCACCACACGGATTCTGTGTCCGATCGCTTTGGCCGGCAGATTGCTGCTGAACTTGGCTCGGACCATCCCGCTGCTGCCGTGGGCCCGGGTTACCTTCCCCCAGATCACTCTGGTCCTGTTGGGTTTCCCACCGGGTGTCACCGTGTTCCTGTGGTGAAACAGACCCAGAGTCAGTCCCCAGGAGCCCCAGAGACGAAGCAGCAGCACCAGTGTGTGCGGTCCCTACTTCTTGGCCTTGTAGACGTAAGCGCAGCGCTTCCCCAGGTAGAAGTCCACCTCGTCTTTGCTGTAGCAGCCTTCTAGCTTCAGCAGCGCCGTGTGCTCACGCTGGTTCCTCAAACCGCGCTTGTAGCCGGTGAAGATGGCCTTGCTCCACAGTCTGGGTCAGAAGAGAACCAACAAGAGACAAACATCAACATAGTCCCGATAAGAGTCTGCAGTCTGACTTGTATCGGAACAGCTGAGAACTTTCTGATAATTTTGGATCATAACCCCTCCTAGAGCAGGTAACACCTACTGAAATGGACCAAACAATCAGAACCCCCAGCTGCTGATCTCTGATCTGCTCAACATCTGAAAACCCAGGAGAGATCTGAACTTACCTTCCAGGCATCGTTGTCCTCTTCAGGCGAGCTCACCTGTACAAACAGAAAGTGTCTCGTTAGAACTGCAGGTTCCCATTTAACAGAGCTCCTTTTTAACTTGGCTGTCCCTTTCTCCTGCAGGAGTTCATATTTGGCTTTAGCCTTCAACTTCTAGGGAAAGGTTCCTCCTCACTTCTAACGCCACCCAGTCCACTCCAGAAACGGAACCAGTATAGCCCAATAACAGATCTTCAGTGTCTATATCACATGAGAAAACACCGAACCGATTCCGCGGTGATTCCGGAAGTTCCGGTGAGTTAAGGAGGTCCAAACAGAAGCTCATCAGGTCTCTGGTCCCGGAACAAACGGCTAAATTAAAGCGCGGCTAACAGCGGGTTACGCTTTAAAACAGCTTCTTACGTTAGAAAGAAAAAGTCACGCTTTTCGTTCCCGGAAACACCCGAACACGACCCGAGAAAGCGACGGAGCGCCGTGAATTGTAACGCTCCCATCCCGATGCATACACCGGACTCTGTTTGGTTAGCCGCCGTTAGCTCCATCATCCGAACCGAATCTCCACAATCGGGACTTCCAGTACGGACACCGACACACCGGAGGACGGAGGGGACGCTGCCTGCGGAGAGCAGACCGGTATCGGCCTCAGATGAAACACTTTACAGGTGAAATTTAAGTTTGATTAGGAGAAGTCAACGCTTACCTGCTCCTAGTCCAGAAAGATGGAGGAAAAGGCAGGCCGAAAGGAATGATGGGTAATGACACCATACAGAGGTGTCCGCGGAGATGCCTGATCGGAAATGCCCCGTAAGTTAGAATACAATTATAAATATAAACTATTAAAACCGAGTCACTGAGATTAGTGAAATAATTTCTAATTTCTTTCAGTAAATTTCGCCAAATTGCCTAAAACACATGAAAAAGTCACACACACACACACACACACACACACACACACACACAAATAATTATAGTTGGAACACTTAAAATTGCCTCGTTATTTTTAATAACGGATTAATTAACAGTTATTCCATCTGACTGTGCAAATAAAAGCTCTTTTATAGGTCCAGGTTCACTTTACTGACCAATAGTGAAACTTGTCTCAGCCATACACATAAAGCACAAAATACACAAAAACACAGATTAAAGTAAGTTAATTTAAATACAATGGAGTAATCTGTGTAAATTGAGAAACTTATAAAAGAAGAAATAATAAGCCTGTGGAAAATGCTTCACTTGATTGACGATGTACCGACAGGGCCACTGTCTGATTGTTTTGGTTCTTCACACTGAGACCACCAAGCTAAGAAATGGTGAACCGGTTCATTAAAGCCTTGTAAAAAACAAAATAACAACAAAAAAAACCTTCACCTTATCATTGTTTAAATAATTAATCTTACTTAGAAAGTTAAGGTTTCTTGCGAATGACCCTTATATTTAAAGCTGCTGAATAAACACAGCCACCATTCTTTCTTGCACCCATGCAGTTTGGGTTTCAGCAGTACCATTCCACAGAGACAGCAAACTGGATCTTTGTAGAAACAGTGAAATCCTTGCACGATAAAACCCCCTGTGTTGGTGCAGTGTTTTTTGGATTTATAGAAGACGATGGACACAGTAGACCATCAAGCCCTTCCGTCCAAACTGACTCACATCAATTTAGCAGAAAATGCACTATAGCTTGTTTTCAGTCTTACTTGTCCAACAGAAGACAGTGTGTGAGGGACACGATGTCATCATACCTTGATTGTTCAGCGGGGGTCCCACAAGGCTCTATTTTGGGGCCAGTATTATTTTCCTTATCTATATATATATATATATATATATGATGTGCCAAATGTGTGACACAGTGTACACTTCCAAATGTATGCTGATGATAGTGTTATTTTAACATGAAGCATCCTTTCTCCTCACATCAGTCTTGGAGAATATACTGCATTGGCTCCTTCAGTCCTGTCTTTTGTGGACCAAAAAGAAAAGTGTTTGATGATTTTTACAAAAAATAAATAAATAAATAAACATGAAACTGGAGTGGTCTAATGTGTTTTTGGGGGGAGAGAGCTTGACCTTGTACAAGAGTCGGGATCACCCTGGATCCGACACTATCTTTTAAAAAACATAAAACTCATCACAAACACAATCAAATTCAATGTACATAACTTCAAACAAATTAGACCTTTAATGAACATTAACTCAGCTAAAATGTTCCTACACTCTATGATATTGTGTGGATAGTGTCCGATATATGTACAGTCTATGCTTCACATAGATTATTGCATCACAACTATAAAGCACCATTTCAAAATAGCATGGCAGCTAACCAAAGTGCTGTACATAAAAAGCCAAATGCTTGACCAAGAAACACAATAAGAACAGGCAAAATACATAAGAAAAAGCATAAACAGTCGGAGATAAAAATTCCTACTAAAAACAATAAAAAAGGAGAACAGTTAACAGCACTATAAAATAATGCGACGAATGATAAAAACATTTGAAATGGCACAAATAAAACGAAATTAAATACCAGCAATAAAGGAGAGTGTTTGTATTACTTGGAACAATACACCAGGGGGCAACCTAGGGACTTGGTTCGTAGTTGTCTTCATTTAACAGCAGACAGAGGGTATGTGTTAGCCAAGCAGCTACTTAAAGAGCATTTTGGGAACGAGCACAGGGTAACTGCAGCTTACATGGACGGACAAGGTGTCTGACTGGCCAAACATCAAGGCTGAAGACACCACAGCTCTAAAGAATTATGGTCTGTTCTTAAGAGAATGTTGCAATGCAATGGAAGAGTTGCTGTATTTAGAAGAGTTGAACATGCCAAGTAATTTAAGAATGTTGGTTCAAAAGCTTCCTTACAAGCTTAGAGAGAAATGGAGAGTTAAAGCAAATGAAATTCTTGAAAGAACTGGTCAAAGAGCACGTTTTCTGGACATTGTCACTTTCATAGAACATCAAATAAGAATAACTACTGATCCCATATTTGGGGACATACAGGATGTAACACCTGCCAAGAACATTTCTAAGGCGCAAAGATCTTTAATAAAACCACAATTCAAAAGAAGCAGCTTTGTAACTAATGTTACTGTCAAAGGAGAACGTCTATCAACCAAAAGCTCTAAGTCAAAGTGAAGCAGTCTGTGTGTTTTGTACACGAAATGGGCATAATTTGGAAAAATGTCGGGAGTTTGAAAAAAGGTCGCATAAAGAGAAACTAGATTTCTTGAAAAATAAGGGTCTATGTTTTGGGTGCTTTAATGTTGGCCATCTGAGTAAGAGTTGTGAAAGCACCTGCAAGTACTGTAACCAAGCTGATCATAGCATGTTGCATATCGGTCAAAAGGAAAGAAATTCAAAAATCATTTCAGGAAAAGCTCCAAATCAGGGAAATGAGCAGCAGTTTGAGAGTTACTCTACTTGTGGTCATACTGGGGCTGGCTATCAGCATGGTATACTGCCAATAGTACCTGTAAAGGTGAAAAGTTCAAAGGGAGCTAATATAGTGGAAACATATGCGTTCCTAGACCCAGGAAGTACAGACACATTTTGTACTGAGAACCTTCTTCATCAGCTTAGCATGCAAGGTCATAAAACTCAAATTCATCTCCGTACTTTGGGTCAAAGTAAGATCATAAAATCCTCTGTTGTGAAGGGTCTTGAAATTTCTGATTTCTCAGGTGGACATTTTTATGCACTCCCAACAGCTTTTACTCAAAAAACTATGCCTGTGTCAATCGACAACCTTATTAGTGAAGAAGAGTTGGCAAAGTGGCCGTACTTGAAGGGTTTAAAGTTTCCTAAATTACATGCTGGAGTGGATTTGCTGATCGGAACAAACACTTCCAAACTAATAGAACCTTGGGAGGTCATAAACAGTCAGGGTGAAGGGCCTTACGCCATTCAAAGTTTGTTGGGCTGGGTTGTAAATGGTTCAGCCAAAAACATCTACAGTGAAACAAGTCAGTATTCATTGGTTCAAGTAAACTGAACCTCAGTGGATAAGCTTGAACAGTTGCTAATCAGTCAGTACAATCATGACTTTGTGGAGGAATCTTGCATTGGGCAAGAGGAAATGTCAAGGGAGGAAAAAAGGTTCCTAGACATAATGAAGTGTTCAACACATCTAGAGAGTTATGGGGTGCCATTTGTAAAGTCAAACAGTCATAATCTAACAGCAATATTTTTGGTTATTTAGCGTATTATAAGAGAAAAAATTGGGAGTTCACTTTTTCGAAATTTGTAAAATAAATATTTAATTCACTAAATATTTAATGTACTAATTAAATATTTATTTTGGAACTAAATATTTGATTTGTTAATTAAATATTTATTTTCCGAAAAATTATTTAGATCCCAGCTAAATATTTATTTTGGAGCTAAACATTTAGTTTGCAAAATCAGTATTTGGGAAATAAATATTTAAGTCTGACCCAAAAATATAAAATATAGCGTGGAGCTAAATAACATCGTGGGAAATCAATATTTAGCTGGTACTTAAACATTTAGCTAATATGCAAATTCGCTTGCCAATAAGCGGAAGTTGATTACCAAAATAAAAGCTGGATCTCGTTAACTTCTTTATAAACTCTTGCTTCGAACCAGAACTGGTTTTATCTCCGGTTCTATTCTTCTGAACATGTCCAACGTGTTGGCTGAAGAAGAATAGAAAAGGAGATAAAACAAGTTCTGGTTCAGAGGAAGAGTTTATAAAGAGGTTAGCGAGATCCAGCTTTTATTTTGGTAACAACTTCTGCTTAAATATTTATATTCCAAATACTGATTTTGCAAACTTAATGTTTAGCTCCAAAATAAAAATTTAGCTGGGATCTAAATATTTTTTTTTGGAAAATAAATATTTAATTTACAAATTAAATATTTAATTTACAAATTAAATATTTTGTTCCAAAATAAATATTTAATTAGTGAATTAAATATTTAGTTAGTGAATTAAATATTTATTTTACAAACTAAATATTTAGATCAGACCTAAATATTTAGTTTGCAAAGTAAATATTTGACTATAAATATTTAGCTTGCTAACTAAATATATATTTGGTAACTTTAACATTTATAAATGTATGAATAACACAGTGAAAATATGACTTCGAAAAAGTGAACTCCCAATTGTTTCTCTTATGATATGCTAAATAAACAAAAACATTGCTGTTAGATTATGACTGTTTGACTTTACAAATGGCACCCCATAAAATACAACAGAACTGAGACACCACAGCAGCAAACAACATAAGGGTATTAAACAGCAATGTTTAACGAAATTGCATTTAGTGCCAACAACAGCCCAGAAACGCCCGAGTCCACTCCATACTTATGAGAAGCCGAACACCTTGTGAGCACCTGTGCGTACGCACACTTGTACATCTTCTGAGATCATGGCAGAGCTCTCAGGCCCCGCCCACAGCTGCTCACACCAGGGCAGATCCAGCTCAAACCTCAGTGACCTCAGACCTAAAGATGCCCTGGGGGAGGCCCAAGCCACAGACATCCTATATGCAGATGCCCCGTAGACTGGTGCTGCCTATTGAAGTTGCTGTAGTGGCTGGCAGCCACCATCTTGGATTGCTCTCCATTCGCCCCCAATGTATTTATTTTAACTGAGGAAGCCATTTACCCAACTAAAACACACGTTGTGCTTTTTAACATAGTCAGACACATGGTATGATTATGTAAACATAATAAAATTAAACTAAATTAGATTAAAATATAAAATCCCAACAGGTAGGCTAGAAAAGTCAATAGAAATCCCACGTGATGTCTTTAATAGTGCACCGGTTGTTGCAACTGTAGGCTGCAGAAACGACAGGCATCAGTCGCCCACTCTGCATCGACTCCAGTTGGGTTTGGAGAGTGAGGAACCCATCCAAAATGGTGGCAATGCTGTTACACTCTCCAGAGCCCAGTGGGGCGTATTCGTGTCTTTGCACCAGGCAGCCACCCAGCACCAGAGCCAGGACAGGGGTGGACTCAAAGACCTGACCTGACAGATTCAAATTCAATTCAAAAATACTTTATTAATCCCAGAGGGAAATTAGAGGGATAAAGTCACACTCTCATCCTCATACAGAACACATAAACACATCCAACCCAAAGACAAAATAATGAATGTCATACACTCTACACCGGGGCTAATCAATTCCGGGCCTTGAGGGCCGGTACCCAGCAGGTTTTAGTGGTTTCTCTGGTCCAACACACTAGATTCAGTGGTTGAATCACCTGTGCAGCAGCTCATCGGGCTCTGCAGAAGCCTGTTGATCACCTGCTGATTTAAATCATGTGTTGAAGCAGGGTAATAACCAAAACGTGCTGGACACCGGCCCTCGAGGCCTGGAATAGAATAGTCCTACACTCACTGGTCCAGGTACTACTGCTCAGAAGACACAACCAGTCCCAGACCCAGGAGATGGTCCCATTCTTATTGAGGTAAGAATGAGCAGGTCACCCCACCAAACGCAGAGCAAAGCGACCCAACACCCCAGCTCCAGACAATGAGCTCAGGAGAGGTGTGAGAAGGCCCCGAGTCTCCCTCTGCCTCCTGTTGATGCATGTTGTTAGAACAGGTAGGGGTGTGGGGTGGTGCAGACTTACTCTCTCACATAGCCCACACACACTCTTGCACACAAAGAAACAACAGATGTTAGATTTAGTGTTTATTGATGTCCCACGTCACCTGAACGCAGCGCGAGTCCTCGTTAAACGAGTAATCTAAAACTTTTATATTTAAATAAAAAACAAAGTTCATGTTGCTCCGTCTCCCGCCAGCTTGTCCCTCCCTCCTTTCGTCCAGCTCCTTTTAAACACGTCCATTATTCAGTTCTTTTGTTTTCCGTGAAAAGTGCATTTAAATAAAATTAGTGTCAGCAAACAGCTGCAGGACTCCACGAGACTATTTTCTGTTCAATTTTTCTTTAAAAACATGTGTTGCCATGGTGACTGGGGCTTTCAACAGGCTGCGTTTTCATGATAACACATGGGTTTCACCCTCATATACACAAAATATTTACATGTCTATATTTACACCAACGGCTGCATGCAACAGAGACCACCCGATCCACCTCCGCTGCGAGACAGAACTTCCTGCTGGATGCGATCATCCGTCTAGAGTGGTAAAGATCCATATGACATCAGCCAGGTGATCACATGACTCACCTGAGACCTCCGTCTGAACAACACAAACATTTAAACAAACATCTGACATCTTCCTGAAATCCTGCAAGTCAGAGTTCAGGGTGAAGTTATTCTGATGACATTAGTAACACGAGAGTTTGGATCTAACGAAGACAAACAGAACTGACCCATCAGAATGTTCTGACCCATTAAAGACTGGTGTTAATCCCATCACACACAGCCCCTTAAGCCAACCGGTGTGTGGAATCATCATGCATCATGAACTTTTACCTGATTAAGGTCAAACCAACTCCCGTCTGTGGTCAGAGGTTTGAGTGTTTACACGTTAGGTTCTGGTTCTGATCCAGTCCAGAGCTGATGAAAGTTAGTAGGAATGAACTCAAACTCACAGATTAAACCCACTTCCTGTCTGATTTAGTGTTTGGAGGTGTCCCAATTAAACATGAATCCTTGTGGCAATGGCCTCCCAGAAGAATGGAACTCGGCCCGAAGCCAGGTGAGACATCTCATCCTTTAACCGTTTACAGGTAGAATTATGATTTTGTGCAAAATCAGCCAAGTTTGAAACTTGATTTAGTTGTTTTTTAAACAACGTTTCTGGGTTCCTCCATCATTAGAACCTAATGAGTTTGGGTTTTAGCTAAACGGGTCATCAGAATCTTTCCTCTAAAACAATGAGATCCAGTGTAGGTGGACAGAGACGTTTAACTGTGTCCTCAGAGAAAGGGGACACGCTGAAGTTTCGGTGTTGCGGTAGGTCCAGTCTTGTGACGCATTTTAACCCAGCGTCCGCCGTTGGGACCAGAACTCATAATTTATGCTAAACGTTGAACTTTGTGGTTCTGTTGTAAAACTTCCTCTACCTGGCCGACCTGAGCTGCTGCATCGTAACCATAGCAACACCAACAGGGTCGCGGTCCTATAAAATCATGGGTTTACATTCTGTGTTCCTGTGACATCACACAGGTCGTTTGGAGGTGGCGAGCCCTGGTCGTCTGAGCAGATGCAGCTGAGAAGTCTAAATGGTGACAGAAGGACCGGCTGCTGCAGTCGTCATGCCAACGGAGTGTCTGGGCGGGGCCAGATCGAGCAGCGCGCTGACGGTTCCAGCCACCTGGGGGAGCCCTCGCTCTTCCAGGATGTGAAGAGGAAGACACAACTTACTCTGCATGAACAGACACCACAGAAGACACAGAGCGAGGGGGTGGGGGGGTGGACAACAGAAAGGTGGGTCAAAGGATGGCAACTTAAAGGAACAAAACACCACTGTAACCATGGCAACAGAAAGATAAACCAACCAAAGGAAGAAAGGAAAGAAAAAATGGAGAGATGAGTGGAGCTGCCAGAGGGGCTGATGGGAATTGAGGTCCAGTAAAACCAGCTGCTTCAGTAGGAAAAGGATGCTTTGAATGATACCAAAGGTCTGGTTCTGACCGGTTCTGGAGAACTGCGATTGTGATCAGACACCTAAACCATGTGGCTGAGCTGAAGTCCAGTCTCAGCCTCTGATGTCTGTGAACTCAGTGTGTTCTGGGTCTGCAGAGTCCAGAACCCACAGGAGGTTCTCTCTGGGCAGCAGAACACAACCTGCTCAGGTGAGTCCCAGATGCTGGAGAGAGACAAAGTGAGTCCAGGTGTTTTCACTGAGTTTATTCAAAGAGGAAAACGGTCCAGCAGAACCGAACCGACACAGAAAAATCATCAGAACTCAGTCCTCCCTCCTCCATTCTAGGGTTTCTAGTTCACAGCTGAAACCAGATCCTGTTCAGGCCCACCAGAACCTCAGATCCATCCATTTTCACCAAAGCAACTTGACTTGGTTAGGAACCAGAACTTTTAAAGGTTTCTCTTCAGTTTTTGGTTTGGAAAACATCCTGCATGTTTACAACAAGAAGAGCAGCAGAACATCGAGTCGGTACAAAATGGGTCACCCAGTCAGTCAGGTCCACATCTTGCCCGGGCCAGTGTCGGACCCAGTTAGGTAAAAATCAGCCAACAAATACGGGCCAGTACCAACGATACAAAGATCACAGTACTCTGATTACAATCCTTGGATCTATAGCTGGACCAGAACTTGAACAGAACCCTGATTACATTCAAGAACTCAATTTAAACAAGCAGAACCAGACTCTAGTTAATTGGCACAGATCAGAGTTCTGGTCCTGCTGGTACCAGCCAGGAAGACCACAAGCGAAAACAGGAAAAAGGTTGTGGAGGTTCTGGTTCTGGGCCCATATAACCAGTAAAAAACACATGACACATAAGGCACAAGTGGGCGGAGCCACAGCAGGCAGGTAACACTTTAGGTGACGGAGCCCAGAGATCACATACAGCACTTGAGCCAGGCCCAGAGGGAACCGGCCCGTTACATTCTGATCCAGAAGTGCGGTCCCAGCCCAGATCTACGTGAACAAACACCAATCCAGATTAACTCCTACCAGCATAACCCCTAGAACCGGTTCTGGTATGAAGCCACTCGTCTCCTCTGGTCATCCAGCCCGACTTGTTGGGTTTCGGTTCTTAAATCTACATTCTCACGTCACACTTTCAAAAAATCAAATCAAAATATTAAAAAAAAGTATTCAAAAGTTCAGCTGGAAAAAATAAGAAAATCAGCAGTTTGTGCTTCCAGAAACAAACATGGCCGACGTGCTGAGGCTATCCTAACGGACCTCTGGTTCTGTTTGTGTGCGCCGCTAAAGAGTCTCAGGATTCTGACAGATTCTCACTATTTTAGGAGCAGTAAAGGTTTAGATGGAATCCTCTAAAGTACCGGTCCGTTTGGGTCTGACCTGAGGTCAGTTCATCATCCTGGGCTAAAGAGAACTGTCAGACCCAACTCCACAGAGGTTCTGATCCCGGTACCCATAGAGTTCTTGTCAGCAGCGATATGTGGTTCTGTTTATGGCACCAGCTGCTGTAAGGAAACATCACGATCAAGTACAGCAGAACAAAACGACCCGGTTCTAGTCCAAAAGGGTGTGGTCAGCTTGGGTCTAACTGAGCAAAACTGCAGAACCCCAAAGAACCGGTCAAAAAACCCTCCACCCCATCTGGGTCAAGCGTGCCCCCCAATCCCAGGAGGACAAGGAACTTATGGCTGTTTAGGATCCAGTTTACTGAAGGACATCATCCGTCCATGTAGGCGGAGACTCGGTACCAGGGGAGTCTGAGTCAGGCCCGCTAACCTGAAGCATCCATTAGGAGGTTGGTGGGTCGTCTCAGACTTGTGGCGCCAGGTGGACATAGATGGCACACAGCGCAGACATGACAGACAGGTAAAAGAGGGCAAAACCAGCCAACTGGACCTGAAGAGAAGAGCTAAGAGGAGGCGGAGCCATGGACAGCAAAACCTCTACAGTCCCATAAAGCCCGCCTCCTTTCCCCCCCAATACATCTCCCACTGAGCAGAGACGGTCCTGAGGTCGGAGGGACATGGACACAATAAAGGATAAAACATGGACGGAGCAAAAAAAAAAAAAAAAAAAAGAAGAAAAAAAAATGAAATGATGAAAGAGAAGAAAAACAGGTTAGTTCAGTGGGAGGAGCTTCAGCAGGTCATCTCATCACTTTCCACCATCGGAGACTGAATCCAAACTTCAGAATAGGGCTGAACAGTTTTAGGAAAAGTTTCAAGTGAGATGTTTGTGGCAGAAATTGTGATTTCATTTCATTTCAATTCACTTAAATGAAAATAAAGGTTTACATTATTCACAATTTTCAAGTAAAACTGGAAGAATGAGAATCTGCTGAAAAATGTCATTCATGTCAGAAATCTGGCTCAGACTGAGAGACCATCTAAAGGCTCAAGAACCTTTACAGGCGTTTAGGATCCATTAGCTGATCAGAGTGTTACACTTTGAGTCTAGAATATTGAACATTTTCGTAATATTCTGATAATCTGAGATTTTTGAAAGCCGATTTACTCAAATAAATTAATTTAACAAACATGACAGGAAATTACATCCCATCAAAACAATTAAAGCCATTACTAATACAATGCAAGGAGGAAAACAGAAGGTAACAATTAGCGTTGGGTACTGAATTCAGTACTTTTTAAGGTATCGACCGAATTCCATAGTACCGACTGAGCACCGATTCACGTCATTTGAAACGGCGCCTCGTTTCGGTACCCGTCCTTCATAACGAGAACTTGCCTAGACAGCTGCGCATGCTCAAGAGCGTTATGTCGTCAGTCGCTGCGAGCGAGTTGTAAACAGAGCAGCATGGTAGAAAGAACGCACGCTAACGCTTGGGTCCACTTCACTAAATGTGACGGGTAATTGGGTGAAGATGAAACCAGTGACAACGATCTAAGTGTGAGGCATCATCGTTTTAATCTGCTCCAGCAGCTAAATAAACTGTTTAAGATAAAGTTAGCTTGATAAATTAGCTTCCATTGCCACCTTTGTTATCAGCTAATGGTGCGTTCGCTTTCTCCTCGGAAATTCTAACTTCCCAGTAGGAAAAATCAAATGAAAAAGGACGGCAAAAGGAATGAAGATACACAGTAAATTTAGTTCACAGTAAAGATGTTTGCTTCAGTTTAATTATCAGCTCATAAAACTACAAGGACGATGTTAAAATACAAACAGTTGTATGTTATTTATCGTGATATTTATCAAATATTGTTATATATTGAGAAAAATAAATATTTAATTATAAAAGAGAATTAAAATATTAAACACTCAAAGTATCTAAAATTGGTACCGTTAAGTACCGGTATCGATTCCTAGGTACCGGGAATTAGTACCGAATCGATTCAAATGTCAAAGGTACCCATCCCTAGTAACAATAGCTTTTAAATGTATTTATTAACGACATAACAAACACACAGAATTTCCCCATGAATTGTTTTACTAAGGCAGGCCTGACGGTTTTTTCCTCACAAAAACACAGAACTCTGATTTCACATACTTGTTTTGAATTACCGCAACTCGGCAACGGTTTGTGCCATCAAAGAAATTCTAATTGTTTTTTTTTTAACCCTTTGATGCATAATGGTCACTACAGTGGACAGGTATTCAAAATTGTTATTTATTTATTTTTGCTATTAAGCACAGCTGTTAAAGACTTTATTGCACTTGAGCCCCTCCATCTGGACTTCAGTAAGTCAAGCCAGCATATTTCATGTTCAGAATGCACACTGTCCACTGGGGTGGACATGTAATAAATTATTTGTAAATTAACAGAACATTACAAAAGATATTTGTTGAAATTTGTTTCATTTGCACCTAAAAATGAATGAAAAAAATTGTTTAAAAAATCATGGTTGAAGATTTCATAATTCATGCATCAAAGGGTTAAAGAAGTTGCACTTTCAAGTCCACCTAGTGTTAATACGGTAAAGTCCATTCCACTGCTGTTATAGGAGGCTGGAGCACCAGCCTCTCTGTCCCTCACTCACGGCTCTGAGCGATGGGCCGAACATACGCAGCAGAGACAGACAGCCATGATTATTATCGGCTGCAGCAGGATAAACAAAAACAACTAAACAGGAAAAAGAGCAGCCGTGCAGCTCCCATAGCCCCACCCCCACTCGCTGCTTGATAACAGATCCAGGGTCAGTCAGGACTGCTACACGTTGTTAGAAATCACAGTTTCAGTCGGGAAAACGACAGAACGCTCAACCCTACTTCAGAACCACGTCTGCCTGTTTTCATTTGGATTCAGTTTCCCTCACTCATTCAGGTGCGTTTTACCTGTGGAACCCCAATCCGACGACAGGCCTCCAGGAAGTTCTCCACATTCCGGCGACACTTGGCCATGGTCAGTTTGGGCTGTGGGACAAAAGGCATCAGCAGCTGGTAACCCCAACCCTACAGATGCCACAGATTATCCAATCAGACACTCACCACAGCGGGCGAGGGCACGTGGATACTGGGCACGGAACGCGGCCTCACGTGATTGGCCAGGTGACACAGCACTACCCCATCTGTCAGAGCTGCTCCCAGGTCGCTAGGTAACGACACCTTGAGACGGGCCTCGATGTTCTGGACGGGAAGAGAACACCCACCATTCAACCAATCACACAGCTCCTCGGCTGCTGTAGCAGGTGTAGCAATTTACCTTTCTCAGCTGCTCCACCAGTTCGGCATCTTCTCCAACCAGAGGTGGAGCAGGCGGAGCCTCCTGTTGACTCTGAGAAGGATCAGCAGCAGCGTCCCCTGATGGACAATGAGGAGACGGTCTCACACAGCACAGCTGACAGGCAACGACACAAACCGCAGAGCACACACCTTTCCTCTTGTCTTCTCTCTGGCTGAGGCGATACAGGAAGCTCTCGGGGCGAACGCTGGGCATCCGACAGGAAGCCCCGCCCCCTGAGCTGGGGTATGAAGGTGACCGATTGGCTGAGAGGAGGATAACTGTGAGTAAGGGGTTGAGTAGGGGATAGGAGGTAGGGTTGGTGGTCTTACCTGTTGGAGACCAAGCAGCTCGGTCCTCACCCTGCTAAGAGAACAGAGACATGTCACACACCTGAGATTGCAAGCTTTATTTTGAAAGAATTTTGATGAAGGCTCACAGTTCTTACCATAATGAGGGCAGAGTCGTCTGTGTGGGTGGAGCGTCTGGACGGGTAGATGTTCTGAGGACAGACAAACCCACATAGTGAACAGGTGTGGTCCACATAAGATTAAGGACGGATGACATAAAGTAATCAGGAAAGTGTCCCGAGAGCCACGGGGAGCTCACCTCAGCATCTAGACAGGACTTGGTTGGGCTCAGAGAGGCATTATTCTGGATAACAAGAGCAGTTACTGGTCAGAGGTAACACTTGGTTTATACCTGTGACTGGTTAACCTAGTGCAGGGGTGCCACTAGCCGTCATGTTTTAGTTGTTTCCCTGCTCCAACAGACCTAATGCAACAGCTGAATCACATGTTTAGCAGGATTGCGAGCTCTGTAGAAGCCTGTTAATCATCTGCAGATTAGTCAGGTGTGTTGGACCAGGGAAACAACTAAAACATGCTGGAGGGCCAGGATCAGCCACTCCTGAATGAGTTAAAGAGGTGTGTGACTGGGTGACCTGTACCTTGGTGTAGCTGGTGGCGTTTTCTCTCTGCGGTGGGCGGTTCTTCTGCCTCTCTTCATTGTACCTCAGAGCAGCAAGCTGAGCTTCCCTCCTGATCCTTTCCACACCTCCAGAACCAGAACCAGCTCTCTGAGAGGGACAGAAACAAAAAAGTTTGTGAAGCAGCAGTGTGTCTTAAAGGGACTTTACGGAGTTTGGAATTTTTATGCTCGCGACTGCCCCCTCAGGCCAAAAGCGTAACGGCAGCTTCAATAGTAGGCTCGTGCACGAGGCGCGCATGGTGTACGTGCACACTCCTTAACGAAAATAACTGCTGAGACAGTCCCTTGTGTGTGTGTGTGTGTGTGGGGCTGTGGCCCGGAGGACAGAGGACAGGAGAACACGCAGCTAATTAATTAAATAATGTGGTTCTGTACCTTTCTCTTCAGCACAGCCGACAAAGGTTTATGATGGGTCAGTCCTCCTGCATGCTCAGATCATTCCCTTCCCTTGCTTGAAAAATTGTTCCAAAATGAAAGTTGAACCCACATCTTTTTTATCTGTGAATTCAATGCCGTTCGGCGAGTCTTAAATAAAAATTTGGGCATCTTACTGTAAAAAAAATATACCATTAATGTAAAAAATAAACTAAATGAACTATGTTCACATCCAGAATCAAACCCAGGTCTTCTGCACGAGAGTCAGACGTCTTACTAGGTGAGCTAAAGCGCCAGTGACGTCTTTTGTATCTGTAACATTTATATCCTTGATGACAGCTGAAACAACGTTTAATGAACGGTACGGAGTTAAAATGGCTATTTTGTTGCTAATTAGCAGGAAATATCTAGAAGAAAGTTCTACAGAAAGTAGCTAAGGGTCCTCAGAAATGTAGCTAGCTTTGTCACTAGGCGTTAGGAACAGCGACAAAGTGGCACTGCCTCTCTCTCTGCTGCTAAAGCTACGGATAGCAAATGCTACGGGCGATGCCTGAGCGTGAACGCGCATGAAGCAGCCTGCTCGACCCGAGCATCTCTCTTTTTCTGTGATTTTACAGAAAAACAGGCAATCACAGTAAAAATGCCAGGGCTCATTCTACAGGACCAGGGCATTGCAGGAGAATGTATGAAGAAGACGTTTATTATTTCTATACATGTTTTGGCTGTCACACTTCCATAATGCCCCTTTAAGAATGTCTCTGAGCCAGGTGGGATGTTGTACCTGACTGTTGGAGGGAATGGGCCCGCTGACACCATCCACCACACTCCTGAGAGAGAGGGACACAAACAGGAAGTGAGGTCAGGCAGACCAACACGGGACCAACACCGAGTTGATGTTTTTTTTTTACCTGCTGTGTCTCTTCATGTCTTCTGACAAGTTGTTTTTTACAGGAGAGCCCTAAGGTCACAGACAGGGGGTGAGTGGATTTTCAAAATAAAATGATACTTTTACACACAGGAAGCTGCTCATTTGATCGTCAGGGTTGCTGTTGATTTAAAATCCCAAAGTTAGGACTTTCTGCAGCTTACAGCAGGTAGTAAAACACGCATACCGTAAATCCTCTAATATTAGCCTGTATTTAATTAACTGCCGGGTATCATATTTTGGCCAGTGTCGGAGTCGGCGGAGGTGAATAATGGCCGGTTTTTATTGTGGCCGGGTGGAATGTGGTAACAAGCAAGTACCACAGGGGGACGGTTGTGTCATCGTCTCACTTTTGATTTGCCAGTGATAGACTGCGAGGGTAACTTTAACCGTGCGGAGACGAAGAGGAGGCAAAAATTTGATATCAAGTTCAAAGAGAACTGATTATGCTGCAGAACACTCTGGGGAGCAGTAGCAGGGGTTGTATGAGCTAGTCACTAGTCGACTTCACCGCTCTGTAGTGACTTTTTATGCCTGTCATCGACTAGTCGCTGTCACGTGATAATGACTGTCAAGATGCAGTCCTCGGAAAAGACAGAAGCCTGCTGTCAGCAGGTGACGAGCTCCTGCGCGTCGGGAGGCAACACGCTGTGCCAGAGCTTCGGTACTGACACTCGCCTTAAAACGGACATTTAACCAAATTATGACCTTTACCCTCTTGCAATTTAACCTTCCCCTCACCCCATCCTAACCTTAGCCAGCGTGCGCATGCAAAGCTCTGATTGTTGACGCGCTCCAGACATCTGCGTCCTGAGCACGGCCACAGTAACATTATCAAATCAGGTGTCGCCACCTCAAAAACTAATTTAACACGCGATCGTTCATGTCGGCTCATTTCCTTTTATGTTTTATGTCTTTTATTCTTTTATTTGTGCCTGATGCATTTCGCTGCTGCGGATCAGGGCGCATCACCTGTTTTGTCGTCCGGTGACGCACCTCACTGATGTGGCCGGCGAGCACTCCGCTGTTTTTGCGGTCGGTAGATCTTTTAGAACTGCAGTTCAAAGGTAACTCATAAGGTGAATATATATGAACCCAGGTAGCAGTTTTTCTTTAGGATTGAGAGGAGATGCAGGAAGATAATAAACAGGCAGGACAGAAAAATAGTCAAATAAAAACAAGTTAGTTTTTGTACCTGGTGGTTGCAACAAACAGACACCATTGAAGGTAATCAGAAGTGAGGAACAGAAAATGAAATAATTATTTTAATGTTTAGAGCAGCAGGAACTCCGAGAGGCTGCAGGCGCATCAGTGAGTTTGCGGCCGCTGCGCAGGGGGAGGGGGGAGGGAGGAGAGGGCTGAAGCAGAAACTACCGTTGTTATAAGAAATGTGTTTAACTTTGAAAATGTGGGCGCAATTATAATTGTCAAAAACTCCAGCGAACCAATAGTTCATTTTGCTCAAATAGAAATAGAGGCTTGTCTCTAATTCTGGTCCTCCTTCCAATAAAGGCCTGGAGCAGGAGTCAAATACAGGCCCGGGCCTGTATTAGAGGATTTACGGTAAGTAATCAGGATTGTGTAGAATTCATTTTTAATACCATCAGGCATTCACCCCGGGACACATTACAGCCAAAACACAACAGACACCATCAAAATAATCAGTTTGGATATTTCAGCAGAAGTTTGGATTGCTGAAACTTCACGCGGTCACATCCTGGATATTACCATCTGGGGTCATGTGGGCTGAGCTCCTACCTCTTTAGTGATGCGTCTCTCGATGTAGGCCATGAACTGAGAGCTGAGGCTGTTGCCGTCTCCTCCTTTGTGATTCTTACCCTCCTCCTCTTCCTCAGCACAGCTGTCGATGAAGTCTATCTGCTCTAGCTCTACATCTGGTGGAGACAACAAAGAAAGGTGAAGAGCTGAAATGATCTGAAAACTGAGGGGACCTCAGGAAAGACTCTTACGTATCCCATTGGGAAGCACTGACGCTGCGACTCCGTGTCGGTGGTCTCTGCTGATCTCCACCGCTCGACTCGGCATCTCTGACGGCTCCTCTGAAGGCTGAGCAAACAGAGAAAGCTCCATCACTGCAGGTCCCAGCAGCTTTAATCTGAAACAGCTAGTTTACAGTCTGAATCCGGTGCTTCTCCGTTATTATCCAGTAAATGAGGCTGAACATAGAAACATCAGCACAACGTTATTCTGTGATCGTGTGTGACCTCGTTGCCCAGCCATCTCTTGTCACCGCTGTCGACGCTGTTGAATCCGGAGTCCAGCGCTCCGTAGGGACGACCAGGAAACTGCTCGTCCACGCTGGCGGGACAGAACTGCATTTAGTGACCAAGGTTTCATTTTATTTTCATTTTCTGTCCTAATCTTGCCCTAAAAAGAAAGATGCTTGTTAAATTTAAATTAACTTTGCGCTTTACTTTTTTTCTTTTTTGTTTAATAAACAATAAAACTTTGAGTTTTTTCCTCTAAAAAGCTGACTTAAAAATGTAGGTGTCAAAAACCAGGAAAAGAACCGGGATTGAAAATGATCTGAAGGTACCCAGTCAGAGGTGGTCTGTCGTATTCAGGCAGCTCTGGTGTGGTCTTGCTGGCCTCCATGTTCAGGTATTTGAAGATGTGGACCTTTCCTTTGATGCATATCTGCAGACGGGACAAAACGGTTAAGATACCGCACCGAGTGAGACGTTATGGTGACTAGCGTTGGGTACCGAATTCGGTACTTTTAAAAGCGCAAGTCACCCCAAATCAACATCTTTTTGCTGATAAACTATAAATGAGTGTCTGATTGGGCTGTAGACAAATGTAGTGAATAATTCGGCACTTTAGTGCATCTTAGGTAAAATTTAAATATTCTGCCTAAAACTGTCAGTGTTGCACCCTCTTCAAGTAAAAACTCAGCACTGCATTTGAATTTAAATCTGCCATCGCTATTGGCTAAGAGGTACACTATGATGTTAGCTGGTACATTATGATGTCACAATGTTGTGAGTGTGTGCATTTGTTAGCGGCTCCACCCTCTCGTTCTGCTAGGCAACAGCATTTGTTGCATTTTTCAAACAGGAAGTGGGAGTTGAGTAAGAATCTGGTAGGGGGTGACTTGCTCTTTAAGGTACCGACCAAATTCCATAGTACCCACTGAGCACCGATTCACTTCATTTGAAACGGTGCCTCGTTTCGGTACCCATACTTCATAACGAGAACGTGCCTAGACAGCTGCGCATGTGCAAGAGCATTACGTCGGTCCCTGTGAGCGAGTTGTAAACAGAGCAGCATGGTAGAAAGAACGCACGCTAAAGCTTGGGTCCACTTCACTAAATGTGATGGGTAACTGGGTGATGATGAAACCAGCGACAGACAACGATCTAAGTGAGACATCCTCATCTTAATCTGCTCCGGTAGGTAAATAAAATGTTTAAGATAACGTTAGCTTGATATGTTAGCTTCCATTCCGCTAATGGTGCGTTCGCTTTCTCCTCGGAACTCCGAATCTCCGACTAGAAGAACATGAACGCGCTCTAAAGTTCGGCTTCACTTTACTAAATGCGACGGGTGATTGGGTGAAGATGAAACCAGCAACAACGATCTAAGTGTGAGGCATCATCGTTTTAATCTGCTCCAGCAGCTAAATAAACTGTTTAAGATAACGTTAGCTTGATATGTTAGCTTCCATTGCCACCATTGTTATCAGCTAATGGTGCGTTCGCTTTCTCCTCGGAAATTCTAACTTCCCAGTAGGAAAAATCAAATGAAAAAGGACGGTAAAAGGAATGAAGATACACAGTAAATTTAGTTCACAGTAAAGATGTTTGCTTCAGTTTAATTATCAGCTTATAAAACTACAAGGACGATGTTAAAATACAAACAGTTGTATGTTATTTATCGTGATATTTATCAAATATGGTTATATATTGAGGAAAAATATATATTTAATTATAAAAGAGAATTAAAATATTAAACACTCAAAAGTATCTAAAATTGGTACCGTTAAGTACCGGTATCTATTCCTAGGTACCAGGAATTAGTACCGAATCGATTCAAATGTCAAAGGTACCCATCCCTAATAGTGACGTCACTTCCTGATTACCTGTGCAGGTGGGCTCTGAAGCGGGTTGTTGTCGAGCATGATGGACTGCAGCTGTGTAAGTCGCCGATAGCAGAGAGGGATGGACGTCACCTTGTTGCAGGAGAAATCGAGACGAACCAGAGGAAGCCCAGCCAGCTCTGAACACAGACAGACACAGAGGTTTGATTGGAATCGGGCCGGATGATCTGGTTCTGGTTCTCACAGAACCGTGTGTTTGGGTGTTTGTACCTGGAGGAAGCTGGATCAGGTGATTCCTTCTGATATTCAGGTCTCTCAGTGCCTCCAGGTGGCCCACCTGAGACGGTACCCTCTGGATCTCATTACAGCTTACATCCTGCAGCAGGTTCAGTCAACAGGAGAGGTCACCAACGGGTTTAACCCGTAACATCGGGTCACGGAACTTCAGGACTAACTGACCAGTTCTGTGAGGAGTCTCAGCTGACCCAGTTCTTCTGGCAGAGAAACCAGTTTGTTGTTGGATGCGATCAGAACCTTCAGAGGGAGGCTGCAGATGACTGGCGGGAGGACGGACAGCTGGTTCCGACTGAGGAGAGACACAGATGGGATGGATGAGTCAGAATCTGTGCAGGATGGGATGAAACCCAGTTACTGCTTTCCAAAACACACGTGTGAAAATAACTTTAATCATTAATATCAATAATAAAAGGATTAGTTTAGAACCCGTTAATCTGGTGCCAGACAATCAATCCAACGTGACCTGGTACCAGAAAGATGGGTCATCTGTCACATCCTTCTGGCCCGTGGGTCACGTTTAGTGGCCCTTTAGGAGTTGTAGTTGAGTCCTCCTGCTCGATAAGACCATCATGGATGGTGGAGTTCCTAGTCCTTGGTCCTCAGAGTCCAGCAGGTTGTAGCTGAACTGTGTTTAGGGTTGTCACGGTAACCGGTGTAGCGGTAAACCCCGGTAAAAAAGTTGACAATAATAATAACCGTCTTGTTTTTTAAAAAACTATATTATCTCGGTGGATTAGCGTGGCTGCGGTGTAGGCGCGGTGACCCTTACCAGCCACCGTATCATCTGCTGAAGATGCCGGCGGCACATGCGCACTTTGTTGTTTACAACCAAAACTTTGTTGAAGCTAAAGCTGAAATAATGGCCAAAGGAGGAGACGGCAGCGCTCAGGACATTTATTATCCCTCAAAGAAGACAAAGTGGGAAGTACGGGCATCTTTTGGATATTTGAAGAATGCCGAGGGACAGCTGATAGAAGACGGCTATCCTGTTTGCAGCACGTGCAGAAAAAGTGTCTGTGAAAGGCAGCAACGCTTCAAATCTCATGACACATCTGCATGACCATCACCCACAACTCTACAGTCAACGCAAGGCAAGCTAACGTTAGCGTTTTAGCTAAAATGCGTGATCCGAGGATTTGGGTTGAGGGAGAATGCAACGAGTCGCTATATAAAGCAGCCGCAGCGCCGCTACCTGCATGTAAACCGTGTCACGGACACCACCATGCTGAAATGACGCTATGCATTACGGGGCTCCCAGGGGCAGATAAGAGTTGGTCTCTCTCCGAGAATAATTATGAATTTAACAATGATTACTGCCTGATGACATTTTCCCACATCTGCAAAGCTCACTGGAAGGACACAAACCGAGGACAATATTTACCTGACATAGGGTTTATTACTCAAGTAAAAAAAGTATCTGATTAGAAGGCTACTTGAGTAATGAGTATCATCTGGTCTAATATTTTAAAATGATGACATCAAACAGACAATAAATAAGAAGTTATGGGCAAATATTGGTATTTTAAAGACTAAAGGGGAAAAATGTAAACAAATAAACAACATAATTACAAAATAACACATTTTAGGCTAAATTTAGACACAAACTGAGGACAATATTTTCCTGATATACAGGATTTATTTTGAAAGTGTAACACATTTAAAAAAAATACTGCGATAATACAGAAAACTGTGATAATTTTGGTCACAGTAACCGTGAGGTTACACTTTCACACCGTGACAACCCTAGTGTCTATCACTTATATCATGGTGGCCCAAAATGAACCAGCACAGTTGGTGAGAGTGGGACGGAACCAGGTCAGTCCAAACCGGACTAGCAAAGATAAACCAATGAGCTCGTTCCTAAATGGGGATTTAAGTCACAGAGATATTAACCTGTTAAACCAGAAGAGATCACAGTTGAACATATTTATGAAGGAGATACGAGGCTGTGCTACCATCAAGCGTTTTAATGCAAACACCAAGATTTTGAATCGGAAGCTAAATTGGAGTGACATGTTTTTTCCTCTTAGACCCGCATAATGATCTGACAGCAGAATTTTGGGCCAACCGCAGTGATGAAGGCCTGACAGAGCCCTGCAAAAGAGGAACAGCAGTAATCAAGGCATGAATCACTGTTTTCAGATGAGGTTAGGATAATGCCGACTCTGGTCGGCGCCCATCACTTCCTCATCACCTCTGTCCCCTTCACCAACAAGCCTGATAACCGCTGCACCCATTGACACTCTCTCAGCTCTGGAGATACGCTGCATCAAACCCTCTAGCACAGCAGTAGGGCTGGGTAGAGCCCTGCACTGAAGCCCTAGGCCCTCGGGTCGGCCCGGCCCGACGGTCCGAGGGCCTAGGGCTTCGGGCCAACGACTGTGTAATTACCTCGGACACGGGCCGGGCGCCTTAATTTTTAATCAAATTCATTAAAAAAACTGAAACACTTGAACGCAGCAGCACCTGCCTGCTTCTCACGCACCGTTAGCTCAGTTCAGGTCTGTGTGGTTTATAATATAAACAAATTCTCAAACTGCTGATTGAAACATGTGCCCCTATTCTAATACGCCGTTTTATGTCCACTCTGATGTCAGAAACCATTCGTTTATTCTCATGAAAACGGCAGCATTCCATTTTTCTGTGAATAAATTCGCTCTGCAGTTAGAAAAATCCAGCATTCACTGCTGTTTTTTTCTAACTGGAGAGCACATTTTCAGAGCGGCAGATTAAATTTACAAACGCTTTATTAACTGGGGGCGTTTATTTAATCTGCCGCTCTGAAAATGCGCTCTGCAGTTAGAAAATTAGAATGCTGTTTTTTTTCTAATTGCACAAGAGCGCATTTTCAGAGCAGATTAAATTTACAAACGCATCCAATTAATACAGCGTTCGTAAATTTCATCTGCCGCTCGAAAAATACGCTCTGTTAGAAAAAAAAGCTGCGTTGGTGCTGTTTTTCTTTCTTTTTTATTTATTTATTTATTTAACTGCAGAACGCTTCTCACAGATTATTAGAACGCGGAGCATTCTATCACGCTAAAACATTATGAAAGGTTAAAAAAAAAAGTCGGGCTCGGGTCGGGCCAGAGAATCCTGAAAACCTTTTTGGACCGGGTCGGGCTGGGGCTCCACCCCCTCGGGCCGGGCCGGACACGGGCTCAGATTTTAGGCCCGTGCAGGGCTCTAGGGCTGGGCGATATGGCCTCAAATCTATATTGCGATATAATCTGAAGCATGTGCGGTAACGATATGTATTGCGATATATTTTTTCCTCTGTTTATAAATGTCTAAATGATGCGCTTTTAAATATCCTCATGTGGCAAATATATGCTACTTGAGGCCTATAGACCTCCTCCCCCGCCCACTCCATGCTTGCAGTCACTCCATTCTGTTGTCCCAATGTCAGCAGGGTGCACATCCTAAGCTGTTTTTAAAGGACCAGAGCGTTTTTAAAACGGGGTTTACCGCGGCACCCTGGGGGAGGATTTTGGCATTTATAGTAGCAAAGCTGAAGCTAGAATAAACCGCCATCAGACACCTCTCCAACCAAGATGGGACAT